ATGCTTCAACATTGTTTAACAGAGATCATCTTTCCTATTCTCAGTGATCCATCAGAAGCGAATTCATATGTTCCTAGACTGAAAGACTGTGAAATATGTTTCAAGTGCATATACTATTGCAACAATCAAAACAAGATTTGTTTGCTCTATCGAACCCTCAACAACATATATTATTCTTTTGACTTTCATGATCCAGAAAACGTGGGAGAAAGAATAACATGAAGAGATAATTTACGTGATCGATGACGCTGGGTTTATTCAATGGCATGCACCTACTGCAAATGCGTGACATCAGAAACAAAGAAAGGAAGAAAAGTAAGAAACACTAAAGTGAAGACACACCACAGAAACAAACAGTGTTAATCGATTTTTTTCAGAATATTGTTGCCATAGAAATATATTTTTAAAACAATAATTATATATTCTGAAGGCGCTGGGAGTTTTCTATCGTCCCATATATTAATGATTTCATTCACATATACTAGTTGAAAAATAATTTGGCTTCAATGAAGCAACCTCTCGTCGGCAGATTTCCACAAACTGCAGTTTGCCACTGTTTTCTTAATTCATTTTTTAAACTTATTCACTACTGTTGGACGTAGGTGTATGTGTTGGTGTCGGTCTTGTTTTCATTCAAACTCACACTATCAACAATCACACCCATACTCATGTCCCCACTCAAGCCCAAAAATGTTCAACGCTTGCTCAGACAATAGAACATATCAAAAAATACAGTTTTAATGACGACAAGAGCATGATATACTAAAATATACGTGCATGAGGTTAGAAGATTTCTTTCAAACGTATTTGTAGATGATTTGAATTGTAGATGAGTATAGTAGCATCTAATACATATTTTTCCATGCACATTGAGACACGATTTCAACCGAATTGTGTTCGGACGCGTTTAAACAGTATTCTATTTCGGAATACGTTTCGACACAAAAAGTGTTGCACTCGAAATGAGGTTTCAAATGAAAACGCATGTGAACGCGAATGTCTTTTTTGCATTTGACATTTATATGACATGGGAAAATAAAAGTTAATATTTATGCCTAGTTTATTGATACAAGAGAAAAGAAGAAACAACAGTAACATTATGTCGGTCTGATGAAACAGAAAAAAAAACAGAAATGAGTAAGAACAACACCTGAGAGAAGAACAGGAATGATCATACATATCCATATACGTGTGATTGCATAATCTATATAATTCTGCAGAACGAAAGGAATTCAACTAGTAGATGAAAGAAAATAAGTAATACTGGAAAAAAACTTCAACATACCCTAACAAGTAGCTAAGTAAAGTCGTCACACTGAACTGTCACTACATCACAAATATCTTCATTTGATACTTCAATGGTATTGAAACAACTGTGCTGTAACTATATTGCAATACCCATCAATTCAGATTAATACTGATGATGATCTTAGAAAAATTTCTCAAAATCCATAGATTTTTTTTTTCTTTTCATTTCTCTTCTATTAGATTTTCTTTGTTACACATATGAATAAGACCAATGTCACAGTTAGTAGATTTAATTAAGTGTTCATTTCAAGCGAAACGGAGTTTTTTTTTTTTGGATTCTATGAAACAAAAAAGCATATGGATTGTGAGTTGAAGTTGCAAAAGATGTTATAGAATATTCGTGCATATCCTATATTTTTTGTCATACTTGATGAAATGACAAATGCATAATCAACGAAACATCAATATACGAAGTCAATTGTCATAATATCTGCTAGTTTTTTTGTAAGAAAAAATCTCATAGAAATGTGATTTGTTACATAGATTACTCATGTACATTTTTATAACAATAAAAATTTATCGTAAGAAAACAAAATACGTTTCTTCTATTTTACGCTTATTGTCAACTTAATATCGATACAAGAGATACTGTATGCTACTCATCGATTATGTTAACATGCATGATACACATGAATAATTTCCTTATCAATGTATTCATTTTATTCTTACGTTTGATCCTATCATATGGATTATGCATACAAAGGTATGCATATCATTCATTTTGCATTGCATTTGTCCTTCAGCAAGGTATAGGCAATCATTCGTTTGAATGTACATTAATTTCGTTTTGTTTCGCAATCGAATAAAAACATAGTATGGTACTTCTTATTGTTTGTTGAAAAGTTTTTGTTGTACGTATATATATTTATTTTTAATACTGTTCTATGATTTATTTACTTTTTTAGTGATGAATAAGGACTTGAAAAGAGCTTTCTTTTTTTTCATTCTTGTCTCTGTTTTAAAGACACTTTCCCAAGGTATGTACTAATCTTTTTAAACATGATTATTTTTTATTTACCAAAATACTTATTATATTTTTATTACCTTTTATTTAACGATGTAAGTGAGAGTGATGACTATCTTCGTAGTAGTATAAAATTTACACATTTCTATATACTTGAGTTTGAGATCTCTCCATTCGTAAGACAAAGAGAAGACATTTTGTTTCTTATAGTATGCAGAATAGCAAGTCGACAATAAGTTTATCTTTACCTTCATTCTGTCTTCGTATCAACTAACTTTAAAAACGATTAGTGTGTACACACTATAGAATAAATAATTCAACATATTAATCTTAGATAGTCTCCTACGAATTCGATTATACGAAATTCTAATAACATAGTTGTTGACGACTGAAATCGGCCGATCTATAAATCTGATGAAAGACTATTGAGTTACTTGATTTCACATTCAATAGTTCTTGGTTTTAATAGAAATTATTAAAACCGAGTTATTTAGTACTTATTTAAAATAATTTGAAAATAAGAATATATTTTTCTTGTTGCAGGAAAATTCTACCAAACTTAACTATCAAACGCATTCATGAAACAACAAAACATAATTTCTTACACAATTTTCTTTATTCATGTTTTTATTATAAGCAAATATTTGACCAGCGTCACTGTATAGACTTTCTTGGCAGCCTTCCTGCATACATCATAGACATTGTGCATCTTGTTTCACCAATAATATTGAAATTTTAACGTGAGCATAAAGGTTTTTACAAACCTTTAATTTTGGTAAGTCTCTTGAGATTTTTGTCAAATTTTAAATAACTATTGTCTTTAGTATGTAGTTTTATAATTTGAATTGATTTTTCATTTTTTCTGGAATTTTTGATCTTATCCGGTCATCTTCAATCGTCAATAAACAAAATAACAAGATTTTACATTAACAAACACCAAGAACTGTAGATGGACAGATAACAAGACGTAGTTAATTCTATTCAAGTGTTACGTACTACTAATTAATTTTACGAACTTTTAATTTTGGTAAGTCTCTTGAGATTTTTGTCAAATTTTAAATAACTATTGTCTTTAGTATGTAGTTTTATAATTTGGATTGATCTAGAGTTCTTGTTGTTTGTTAATGTAAAGTCTTGTTATTTTGTTTTTGATGGTTGAAAATGATCGGATAAGATCGAAAATTCCAGAAAAAATGAAAAATCAATCCAAATTATAAAACTACATACTAAAGACAATAGTTATTGAAAATAAAGGTTTTTATTTTCTAATTTATTTCATAAACTAAATTAAACCTTTTGATTTTTTTGTTTATTTAGAATTTTTTGATGCACTAGTGTTTAATTCAATTTGGGACGAAGTTGGCGAGTCAATTTTTATCCCATACTGATAGATAGAAACATTAGCTGTCTGATATTAAAACGAATAAAGCTTAGTAACTTCTTCCCAGAAAATGTAAATGGACTTCGAAAGATATTTTTTTCTCATCATCTTCCATTTAAATAATTCATTAAAATATTACCTTGTGAAGAGACTTTTAATATCGTTTTTTTTTTTGTTTTTTTGTTAAAAAAAACTTTTTTTCTAATAAAAATTTTTATGAAAACACGCCATTGAAATTTTGATAATAATATCAGATGACTTTCATTGATTTTATTTATGTATATTATTTTAAATTCAATATTAACGATTTTTATTCAATAAGTCTGAAGTTTTTAATTGTTTTTTACATCCGACAGTTAAGAATAAATTTAATTACGAAATAATTTTTGTATTCGATTATTAATCGATTTTGCTACATATTAATAATTCATTCAATTGTCAAGTACTAATGTAAATGGTTAACTAAATTGAGTACAATGGAAATTTGATGAACCTATACTAACTGTTCAATTAGAAAAAGTTGTATTCTATGATATTATGTATCAGTTACATCGAGATCAATACTAACTATCGTTATTCTTGACGATGTATTCTTCATTCATTACTTGACACCATAATTATTTATATGAACTTCATAAATATCGTTATTTCGATCAGCATCAACAACAACTCGAGATTAATTAGATTCAATGTATTGTGATCAAATATATATCACCAGGTATACTTATTTGTATTATTCGAAACATCGTAGACTCATTTTAAAATATGATATTTGTAGGAATCAACTATATAAAATTTATTAGATAAATAAAAATATTTTAATATAAATTGATTTAGTGGTATGCATTTGAACGACAACAGAATCATCAATTATTTTCGAAAAATTTATCTTCGTCGAGTGGTCAAATGTTAAGTAATTCAACAACTGTAGTTTCCATGGTTAGTAGTTTGACAATAAGTATTACTACGTATTTAAAACCAACGAGGACTGGAGTTTTCGACGGGACCAAAAGTCCAGTGATCTCTTTTATTTGCTAGACTTCAGCGTAGATTTCTCTAACATACTGTATACAAGGCACTTTTACAATCATATTAATAAAAATTGATTTAGATGCAATTCGATAAATTAATTGTAAATAACTCGCTGTATTTTAATAAATTCCATATCGTATTTTATACCGTATTCTGTATTGTCATGAACAAACAACATACTTTTTTTTTGCTCTATGAAATGGAATATGAATTTTATCTAATAAAAAGCTGACATATATTTAATAAATATTTGAAAAAAGAATCAATATAAAGTATTTGTCTGACTCTATCACGTTTATTCTTAAGTTTTCCACAATGCGAGCTCCGAGAATTCATCCTTACTATGCAGATGTTAGAAGTTTATCAAATTATATGGAAAACAATTCGTAAGTTATTTCTGGAAAAATGTTACTAATAAATCTTTTTTTTTTTTTTTATTTCAGACGATATTCGTTGGCGTATTTACTTCGAACACGATGTCGTCGATTTTTATTATTAATAAGCTTACTAATGATTATTCTAATTTGTGGTCTTGTGATTCCACTAACAATCATTTTAAGTCGTGACAAAAAAACACATCAATCACCACCACCAACAACAACAGATATAAGTAAAAGTTTCATTTGAATTCTCTCTTTTATATTCGATAGCGGAATAACTTGATTTAAAAAAAACTAACTTTCCTAGCTGCAAAAATGATTGCGCTTATTGTTTTAATAACTTGTTCTTTTTTACCTTTGAGAATTTATTTCATTTTTTTATAAAAATCTTATCTGCACTCGTTGCTTACTAAACATAATATTAAAATGATCAATCTTTTTTCATCTAGTTCTTTCATCAGTAAATGTTTTAGGTTATTTAATGAGAATGAATAATAAACTTGTTGACAATTTTTTTTCTTTCCATAGCTTTAAATTCAACAACAAACACAACAACATTTGATGATTCAACAATAAATATTGATACATCAATAACTAACACTGTTACTGATATTTATTTTTTATCAAATAACACATTGGAAAATGATATTAATAGTAGTATCATCTTGACCACCGATACTATCATAGATACTAATTGGACAAAACATACATTTACATCGACACCAGATTCAATAATCTCTAGTGATTCGATTAGAAGAAAGTTCAATCATTAACAGTATTGTATTCTCGATAAGAATTCATGTATTTATCTTTTTTTTCTTCTTTTCATTATTAACTATCGGATTTAATATTTAGTCAACATCTAATAATGCCTTGTATAATTAAAGAAAATTCACTATGAATTGATTGAACAAAAACGAATATTTCAAATGTGAATAAAAGTTTGTTTATTTTTAACCTAAATTGTAAAATATATGATTATAAAAGATATTTGTTTTTTTTTTTGGAATATGCTCCTAATGCAAACTAGTTGAACATATATTTAACTGACGTATTGATCCTTTTTCCATTTACCGTCTTGTCTTTGTCCATCAGCAAATATTAAAGTTCCTTGACCATGTCGCTTTCCATCGACGAATTCTCCTTGATAGTAAGTGCCACTGGCCCATGTTAGTTTTCCTTCTCCATTAATCTCATCATTAGCCCATTGACCCTTATAAATATCTCGATCAGTATAATAATAAATACCATATCCATGTTTTTTATCATCGTCGAAATTACCTTCATATCGATTATTATCTGACCAAATTCGTATGCCTAATCCTTGTGCCTTACCATCAACTATATTGCCAATGTATTTATTTCCATTTTTATCATCATAAACACGATACTGACGCTGTTCGCCTTTGTCATTTTTCCACTCATAAAAATGGCCATTTGATATTATTTTTAAATCTTGATCAGTTACTTCATCATTAGCCCAGAGACCTGCTTGTACCATTCCATTTGTATCATCAAGAATACCATGACCATGTCTATTACCATGTTTGAATGCTCCTATATAACGACTGCCGTTTAGATCAGTGCAAATTCCTTCTCCAGTTGCTTTATCATCGGCATCTTTACCTTCAACTTTTTCTCCATTAACTTTGTAATATTTCGCATAATTTTGCTTCTTACCATTTCGGTATTTTAATTTATATTGATCACCATTGAAAAAAGTAGTAACTACTTTAATTTCGTCTTCGTTGGATTTCTTTTTTTCTGAAAATGATTAATAATGGATCTCTTTTATTGTCTTTTTGTTGTCATACATACTTGGCGATGATTCATCATTCATTGCATTTGTTGATGCCGTAGATCTTGTTTCCCGATGATCAATATCTATGATGTAGTTATTGTCGCAGATATGAAAATATTTCAACTAATGAGAATATTCACCTGTGTCTTGCTCGTTAATAGATTGGTTGTTGTTAACCATTTCGATATCATTACTGGTTGATTTGTTCTCCTCAACTTGGCTAATTTCTTCTAAACATATTATGAGTTTATCCTTTTGAGTGTTCAATTCCTTGCTTTTCACTCGCAAACATGTGCCTGGAAGCAGTAAAACCTCTTGGTCACCGGTATTAGGCGTATAATCACGAATATCTTTTCCGTTGAATGATTCAATTGAGCAAAGAATTGGATTATTTTCGAGAAAGCATCCCATAATATCAATGGACAATGAACATGAAGTTACACAACATAATATCAATTCGTCATCTTCTTCTAGTTTCTTTGAAATATCAATGGGTAAACCTCGCCAAAGTGTTTCCTTGACATTGGGTAATTTTTCCAGAGCTGTATAAAATAATTTAAGGAAATCTAGCCAAAGTTCTAATTGTATTTTATTTCTAGTTTGTAATGTACGATTCAAGACATTATGTAAGCTTTGATCTCCCCAATCATCCGTATAGAGATAAATAGCAGCTGATTCATCTTCAGTAGTACCATATGTCAAAGAATAATGACAACAGCGCTTTGCTTTTTCCATATAATGTTCCAATTGGTCGACATAAGATAAAACAGGTTTAAGAGCTATATCTAATGACAACACTTGATGTTTTTTATAGTCATTAATAGGTTTGAAATCTTTATCATCATATTCAAAATGAATAAATCGTTTCATTTTTTTGTTCGATATCTAATTATAATGATGATAAAAACACCTTTTTTTACATTTGATGTTGCACGTGTTGTTGGATGTAATAATATCTAAAAACAAAATATTGTTTTTCTTCCAACATATTTCAATTCTTTTATATGGGGTGCGATAAGAAAAAAAATCCGTTTTTTTTACTAGACAACAACAGGAACGGTGAAATATTCTTTGCTTTCAGAGAAAAACACACACATGCTTGCTCCCACTTCGTTTTACTCCGTCAAAAAAAAAACGTACGCAGAATGAATGACTGGGTATTTTCATCAAGAAGATACAGAAGTAAGGCAAAGGAAAATTTTCCATGTTGAGTAAAAAGATACATTAGGTGTACATCTATCTATACATCAAACACACAAGCCAAATATTTGATAATTTACAATATTAAGGAAGCATGTTGATTTTATATTGCAGAATATTTGTTAGACCATTGAACTTGAAATCAATCTTCAGTCATCAAAACTCAAGAAGTACAATATTGAACGTTCTTTACGATATTTTTATTGTATAACGAAATCACAATGAGAGTATAGTGTTTCTTTAATTATTACAGTGATATTTTCAGAACAGATACTAATATATTGGTAAGAAACATTAAATATTGACTCTCGTATAAATATCTTTATAAATTAATATGCAAATATTCTTAGATGATAGAAAGGCTTGGAAAAATTTTTGTGCAACACAATCTAAAATGAGCGTTGAAGTATATAGGGTAGAAGTTTGCATCCATTTTCCACAGACCACTACAGACGTTGTTGGTATACAATCTTATTGCATTTCTGAGGGATTAAGTAAAATGATGACAAAGAAATGTGTTCCAAGCTAGATGGAATAAAATAATCTCCATGTGATTAGCAACAGCAGCTGCATTGTGTTTTACGTTTTAATCATACAGAAACTCTGATAAGAGCTTTTTTTTTTAGATTTATGAAAGTTGAACTTTTCGGGTCTTGTAATCAATGAAAATTATTTAGTCATAACATTTATCTAATATATTTTGGAGTTTTTTTAATGTTTTATTCGAATTTAAGTAAACGTCAAAGATAGTTTCTAATCAAATCTTTTTCTCCCATGAATTTTTTTTAAGTGACATATTTCAAAAACTTTTTTTTCTTAAACGAAAATGCTATTATACTATATGAATACAAAAAAAATGGAAAGAGAAGTTCACGGTACCACTTGTACAAGTTAGCAATTTATGATGATATACAACTATCATGAGGTTACAATGGGATAGATATCGTTATTTATGCAATCTAACCAACAAATGTGTCATTTTCCCAAGCACCATCTTCGACTCGGCCATCAGCATAGGTCAACTTCCCTACACCATGTCTTTTTCCATTTTTAAATGTTCCGTCATACTGACTTTCGCTAGGCCATTTAAATATCCCTGCACCATTTATTTCATCATTGGCCCAATTTCCCTTATATTCACCACCGCTTGCATAATTGTAAGTACCACATCCATGCTTTTTATCATCTTTGAATTCTCCTTTGTATCGATCACCATCTGCCCAAATGCGTAGACCTTTTCCATGTGCCTTTCCATCAGTCAAATCGCCTTGATATTCGTCTCCATTCGCAGAATAATATGTGCCATAACCGTGAATTTTGCCATCTTTATGAAATCCTTCGCAATGATTTCCATTCGGCCAAGTACTCGTTCCATTACCATAAGGTTCATTACCTAACCAGTCACCCACATATGTATATCCATTAGCACAATAGAGACTACCATATCCATTCATCCTACCCTTCTTAAAACCTCCTTCATAACGATCACCATTTGAACAAATACGAATTCCATGCCCATTTGCTTTGCTATCAGCACGTAAATCGTCGTATGTCTCTCCACTGGCCGTATATAATTTACGATGACCTTGTTTCTCACCTTTCTTGTATATTACTTCATAACGATCACCATTCGAAAAAGTAGTGACTGAAGACTCTATATTCTTTTGGGACTCGTCTCTATCTGAAATAGATCAAATGATAAAAAATTTTCAAGCAATCTTACCATATTTTAATACGTACTGGAAAGGTCTTGATTCACCGTTATTGTTGTCTTTGAAACAAATTTTTCTGTGGAATTAGTTGAACCTATACAATTTCATTATGTTATATTTTATTTAATACTTATATGAAAATGTACGATAAAAACGAAGAATCAATGTTACATAATGATAGTTAATTAACTCGAAGTGTTTTTAGTCAAATTGCTGTTATTGAGAAAAACTCAATGAAATAAAAATACTTTGATTATTTGACAGTATACAAAAATTGTACAAAATGAATAATACACATACCTGAAGCATTGTTAAGTGATTTGCTTGTTGAAGATATAGGGTTATGGATGGGTACCGGTTTTTTATGATTTTCATTAGCAATTTCTACCAAATGTATAACATTTTGACGGATAGAAGAATCATAACTAATGTTTTTAACACGCAATCGAGTACCTGGAAGCAGTAAAACTTCATCTTCTTTCATATAAACGGTATATCCACAAATATTCTTGCCATTGATCGCTTCGATTGAGCAAAGCATCGAATTTTTATCAAGATAACTCTTGATTATATCAACCGAAAGTGAGCATGAACTCACACAGCCCCAGATGATATCTTCATCTTCTTTCAAGTTGTTAGCTATATTGCTATGAATCCCACGCCACACATTGCACTTCACGGTGGGTAACTTCTTCAAAGCAGTATTGAATAATTTGAGATAACTAAACCAAGGCTCAATGATTGATCGATCTCTTGATCTTAGTGCTTGGTTTAGCTCATTGTTTAAACTTTGTTTTCCATCTGCCCGTGTATAGAGATAAACAGCGGCCGATTCATCTTTAGTGAGATTATGGATCGAAGTAGTAGAGCAACGAGTTTCTGAACGTTTTATGCAAGCATCCAACTGGTCGATTTTCGATAAAAAACATGCAAGAGCTTTTGCCAACGGCACAAGAGAGTAATTCACGTAATCATAATAATCAGGTGTCAGACCATTATCGTTGTAAGTTTGAATAAATCGATTCATTGTCTTCGATTTCTATTTAATCTACGGACAACTTATGCGTTTTTTCTACAGAACGTTCTATGCTCCAAAATGTAGTGATTCAAAAGTGATGGATTCTTTTTATGAGAGGCCACATTTTTATTTGCAAAATGACAATAGAAGGAAGAAAAAAATCTCCCCCTTTTATGCGTCAATAATGATGAAAACATGTTTCTCTTTACAGGATAGAAAAAAAACTCATGTCGACGAGTTTATTTAAATTTGTTTTAGTTGCGTTACAACATGAAAATGATAATGTTAGAACGATTATTCATACTTTTGAAATATATGTATGGTTGAGTAGCTGAGTCACTTAGGACAACCGAAAGTTCTCACAAGACAAAATAGGAGTAAGAAAAGTAATAAAATGAATATAAATCGTTTGGAAAGACTCGATGAGACGAGTTCATCGTCAACTTTATCTAGTCTCGAGAATTATTATCTAATGAGAAAATTTTCATGTCAAAATAATTTTTATCACGTGGAATAGCTCTCTCATGACATTATTAGTCAATGTATATAGTCGACTGGTGTACTTCAGGTCACCTTTCAAAAAATATTGATGTATCTCAACTATTTTGCATGCGACAAAAAATAGTTTTTCACTAGTAGATAGTTCAAAGTATTTTCTATTGATCCATGTGAAAACCTATCAAAAGAAATATAATTTTTTTTATCGAATTTGTACAAAAATGAGGTCTTACTATTTTGAAGACTGTATTTCAACGATTCAACTAATTGTTAAGATTCGTTTTAGATTCTATAGAAAAGATTTTCGGCTATCTACTGGTGAAAATTTTTTTTTGTCTTATATGAAATTGTTGAGAAATGACTGAGATTCATCTGTATTTTTGAAGAATGATCACAATTTTAATTAATTGAAACCAAACTTTTCCAGTATTTATAATCAATTTGGAATTAAAACTTGATGAATTTCAATCTAATTAATAATCAAAATCTTGCATAGCAAAATAAAGATTAAAATCAGATTTTTCCATTGTTAATAATTGATTAATAATTAATTACAACTAAAATCATAAATTTGAATTATTTCGTAATAAACTAAAAATGTTTTATTATTGATCAATATTAAGTTTGATTTTATTACAGAATAATTCGATTTATCATTCTGATTATCATGATAAGATTTTGAAATTCTATTTGCTTGTAATCGATGAAATGTTTTATGAGGTAGTATTCTAAAAGTCATATAATGTAATACTAAACAAAGTGTTCACGCAAAGAAATCGAGAACATTAATAGAGCATAGAGCAAATATAACAGAACATTGATTATGTTTTGAGTTACGGATGTTTGTGTACGAAATCAAAAGGTTTTTTAAAATTATATTATTCGAATGGGTGTTGATTGATCATTTGGTAATTGGACATAAAGTCTCCACGGCAACGGTACGCTGTCATGAACTATTTGATGTCGTCCCTTCATCGTTCGTTGATTGGTAACTGTCACGAGTTTATCATTACAATCAATTTCAATTTCAAAAATGTCACCGTCTTCAATTTCATTACATACACCTTGGGGAGACGGTAATACTGTGTGACATGGCCAAGTAATAACAGATGACTGTGGGTTTTTTTTATTTTTTTCAAAATTTGCAATACCAACTTGAAAATAACTTGCCCGTGATACATTATAGTAACATGAATTTAAAAATTTTATTTGTACCCGATGACAACCAGTAGAATACATCTGCGAACCATAGAAAGATGTATAGGAATTATTTTGGTTGTCATCTGATCTCGAAGATGCTTGAACTATTCTACCAACAAGTTCGTTCGAACTGTCATAGAATTGTAGATCAAAATGTTTTTCATCAAATTTTAAGTGACGTAAAAAATTTCGAAATCGTTGACGATCATTGAATGATGTTTTTGGTAGTTCAAATAATTGATCACTATCATTAACTTCAATCCATTGTCTTAATTGATTCAACATAAGTTTAAATAATTCAGGATCATAATCAAGAAAAATGCGATTGTCACGATCAACTAATAATTTTTTATCAGTATCGAATAAATTATCAAATATAGTATTTTTAATGAAAGTTAGCGTTGATCTTAATGTACAAAAGTGTACACCCCCAACATTTAAATATAATATGTCATTTTGAGCTAAATATTGATCAACTTGTTGCTTTTCTTCTTCAAATTTCTGTTTTTGTAATTCGAATTCTTTTATTATTTCTTGAAACTCTTGTTGTTGATTATTCATTTTAGACTTAAGCGTTTCTAACGACTTTAACGTAGCTGACATGTTTCTATATGAATCTCTTTCAAACAATCTATCTAAAAATATTAAGAGTCAAAAATAAAATAATTTCGATTTTCTATATTTTATGTGTATTGTTCAATATTAATTCTGTTTATAACAGATTTTTTTGTTTTAGAAAAAATGTGATCTTAATGAAAGAACGATATATACTTATAAATATCGTATGTGACAAAAATTTTCGATAGTTATTTTTCTATTCTGCATGTATCTGCAATCAGGAGCAGCATAAAACATTGATCTTTTTTTTTCGAAAGAATGGGAAAATGTATTTTGTAATTAGTTAATAACTAAGGTCATTCTTAGTCAAGCCATCATTAAATATAAATATTATTTCACCAAGCACTGAAAAAAAGGTATGGGTATCAAGATTGGTCCTCTCCTCAGATCACACGCAAACACCCTCCCATTTTATCATACTTCTAAACAGAAATATATGTAAAACCACGAAATATCGCAAAATCTTTGGCATATCCAGTAAATGCATGTCAAGCTGAATGCATATTAGTATAATCGCAGGTTCGCAAATATTACTAAGTATTTCAATCTACAATTCTTTATTGTGTAAAATCAACTCGTCTATTTTCTTTGACAAAATGCTTTAATGTTATGCATACTAAAAGAAACTAGTTCCCAGGCAAGCAAAACTTTCGAAAAACGCGTTTAAACGCACTATCGGGAAACGCGACTGTGATCCATTCACGCTCATTAAAAAAATGCAAGAAACGACGTTTTTTGTACAAAATAGTCACTTTTCAAGCGTGAAAACGGTGGAAAACTTAAATTTCTAGTGTTAAAACGTTCTCTTTTTCTAGATTTAAAAAACGACGTGTTTAAACACTCAGTTTTTTGTATTTTTGCCGTTTTCACGCTTGAAAATTGACTATTTTGCACAAAAAACGTCGTTTCTTGCGTTTTTTTAATGAGCGTGAATGAATCACAGTCGCGGTTCCTGATTGTGCGTTTAAACGCGTTTTTTTTCAAATTTTTGTCTGCTTGGGTTATTGACTGACGCTTAACTACTACATTCAAAACGGAGAAAGAAAGAAAACTTGAAGAGATTTGACGTAAACAAAATAGAAAAGAACGTTTTTTTCTGTTTATCTTCCGAGCTTATTTCTTTACACAAATTGCACATACGATTCAACTCAATGTTGACTGCAAATGTGCACATGAAAAGATTCTTGCAATAATAAGAATTGTTTTCATTTGCTTATATTTCTAATCACATAATAATGCTTACCACAATTCAAGTAACTCTTTTTGCAGTTCTTGAAAGAGTGTTCAGCGAATTTCAATCTAAACACCAACCTTTTTTCAATTATTCCTGCTTCTTCTGTCACTTTTTGTTTTGCTATACAATTTTTTACTTTGTTCTTTAACTTTGTTTGGAATCATAGGTTTCTTCACTGCAGAAGTAATAGTGTCCATGTCAAAAACAAAATCAATTTGACCGATACGGTACATTTCTACGGAGACTACGCAATCATATTTTTGAATTTTTTCACCTATTCTTCAATTTCGATTAATTGAACATGCCCTATTGGATGTGTTGTGGTCGATAGTATTGATTGATTATCCGTCGAATATCTGCATGTATTTCATTAAAAACAATCTATGATTTGGTACTCGTAAAATTTTATGAAATCGTTGACCTCTGCAACTTTTCTATTGTCAAATAGCTCATTTAGTATTGATCTACAATCAGTACCGATTCGATAATATACAAAGATTAGGACAAGTCGAATTTTGTTCTATACAAACCGATCTCATGAAGATTTTTCTCCGTATATTCAAATGCTGAGAATATGTTGAACATCATTGAAAGAAAATTTCATCTATGAATAGCACATATCGACAAAGATTTCAATTCATGTGTACATTTTAAAGTACAATCACTAAAATATAATGAAGATCTTTGTCAATCGATCGAATGATTATTTCATTAAAAGACTTACCATATGAAATATAAATATATGTGACAATCACGTAATTGCTCATCAGAACATAATGATTGGTGTTCTTTCGTGATTAATTCATGACATTCGAGTTAGAATAACATATTTAGACATATTGAGAAGAAGAAGATGATGATGAAAATTATAAAACTATTTAGATACTGAATATTTCATCAAAATAAATATCCTTGTACAATATTTTATTTTATCAGGAGAGTCTCACTTAAGGATATCAATAATATATCTTTTGCTAAAGATTAAATCGGGCAGTTCATCAGGGCTCCTGATGACAAGTAAACTGTTCAATAGAGTGTAACAGATATGCAGGAATTTTCCTGGTAACATCATTTATTCGGTCAGATTTATCAAAAAATCACAGTAAATACGGTCAATTTAAACATTTTTACTTTTTAAAGGCTTTTAGGAGCTTAATTTTTCATTTTTTTAACCCTTGCTTAAATACTAAGGTTGCCAGCGTAGAAGTAAGATTACAACACTCCAGATAAGAATGAAAATAGTTGTTCAAAGATGAATTTTAAAGACTAGAGTTTATGAAACTTGATACCTTCTTTCGTCAATATGGCGAGTTCGTCGTTCCATTGAATAGTGTTGAAAGCTGTTGGATAGTAAGATATTGTTTTCAAAATTTTTCCATCGTTAGAAACATGAATAAGACTTTTATTTAAAAAATCGCATACTATCCATTCACCACATCTCATTGGACAGCATTTTTCCCCTCCATCAATCTCTACTGACCATAAACGTTCGAATGTAGTAGATGAGCACAGCTCAACGTATCGTTTGGTACTTTGTCGACTGTATCTAATGACACCAAGTGTTTTATCATGGACTTGTACATCCCATAATATTTCGTTTTCCATGCATGTCTCAGGCGGTTGCCACTTCTTGATAAATTGAATCTTTGGTAACAGAGCGTACACATAAACAGAAGTGCCATATCCGTTCTCTGTTAGAAATAACGTCGTGTCAGTGCATGTTACACGGCGCCATGTTTTTTTAGAAAATATTTGAAGTTCTTGGACGATCATTGTGCTGTCACTGATCGTCAATATTTGGTCAGAAGCAACCGCAATAAACTGAGCAAGGGTTGATGACCAACAAATATCAATGATCTCATTAGTATAACTGGTCATCCACGGTAAATTTTTAACAATAGATAAGTTTTTATCTAGTAGACAGAAATTATATTTATCATGAAAAATCAAATGGTTTTCATTTTTGGCAAGTGGAAACCAGCCGGAGCTTGCTGATGAAAATGTTCGATGCACTGGTTGAAGAGGAAAGAGATTCTTTTGTAATGTTGCAACATCAATAAGATTTGTATTGATCATTAATGGTTGAATATTAAGTTGAAGACATTGAAGTTCGGCAAGTTTGTCTTCAATTTTTTGAATGGATTTCGTAAGCGATTCAACATGATCCTGCGTTGTAGCTTGCTCTTTCATCAGTTCAACTAATGTCTGCCGCAACCGATCAAGTTCGTTCTTTTGTTGTTCTCTGACATCGTCGATCAATTCTTGCCGGTGTCTATTGCAGAAACTATCCACTGTTCTGTGTGCTTCTGCACGCCATGTCTCAATCTGTTTAAGATAGGGTGGATCAAAGGACACAAGTTGATCCAAAAGTAAATTGATCTTATCTGCCAGTGGTGTTAGTGAATCATTAATTGCATCAGCATGTTGAATCAGATGAAAACGACAAAGATTCTGTTGACAGCAGTAACATAGTGCAAGAGACGATTGTTTGCATTCAGCAATCTGACACGGTCGCAATGACGACGTCATTTATTGAATGATGAAAAAAAACACTCACGAATGCGTGATATGATTATTTTTGCTATTCTCTGCTCGACTATAGAAGGTGCAGAGTGAAGGCTTCAAATGTTTTCATTGAGATAAAAATGATGAAATTTTCTTCATACTACGTGGAAAAAAAGAATGGAGAAAAATTTTCGAAAAAAAAGAATTTTATTAGTTTAAGGATTTCAAATTTCAAGAACTAAGGAAAACAATATAATTAAAATAATGTACTGATTTCATTGAAAAACGAGCTAACAAACTACATGAATGAAAAATTATAAGAAAAAAAGAAAACAATAGAAGAAATCCTATGAAAGTGATTACAAGTTATTCAACAAATGACGAATTTGGAGTTTGCAGATGTAATTAATGTCACTCAATGACTTTGATGAACCAATAAAAAAATAAACTATTTTAAATGAAACAAATTGTATTTTCATACTTTATGGATCGTTGTCTCTGTTTCACCATATATCGTAATATAACTCTATTTTTTGTATCATTCTTTCGTCAGAGGTAATAGCTAACGACGATCTACTATTATTTCCTTATAGGACGATTGGCATTCATTGAAGGTCAATTTACTTTGTAATAGACTGCAAATATGAGAAACATGAAAAATTTTAATACCATTCCATCGAGATTAAAATATGAAACATGATAAAACTCCTGTAATTATCAATAAAAACTTTCTGTATGTAAATCTTTCCTGAGAACCATAAAGTTAGCTGTGAAACATTCGATGTATCGAAGAAAAGCATAGTTAATGGCAGTCAACTTTACTATATTTGTATATACTGTTCATGTTTACCTTATTTTTTAAGTAAAGTATTCTTATTAGATTCAGAATTTTGCACAAGTTTTTTTCGCTTAGTATACTGAAGGATTATTTTATATTTTTGGAGGCGAAAATATCAGACATGTGGTTAATTTATCTTTATTTTATTTTTTTTTGCTTTTCTTTCACTATTTATTAACAGTAGAACGAACAAGACGATGACACTGGACGAAGTCTTACTTTGAAAAGGTAAAACGAAAATAAAAAATAATGTTGTGTGCACAAGTTTTATATGTATGCATATCATTTATAATCTGATGGAGAACCATTATAAATTTTAAAATAAAAATGCAATAGGAAGACAAGATAAACACTAAGAAAACAATTGAAGATGACTTTCCTTAATGTTCATCAATCTATTGAGTGATCCTAGTACAAGGTCAAGAACTATGACAAAATCTCTTTTGCATAATATTCTATGTTCAAACCGCAATTTGTCTTTGTTCATAATAAAAAAAAAATTTAAAAATAGTCGTCTAGATGTATTGCACAATTATGTCAGTCAAAGCTTCATGAGCTCACACATCCTCAAGAATCGACGCAGTTTGATTTGAATAAGTTCATGACATCAATGTATTGCAAAATAATTCAGAAGTTCTATGATTTTTTTCGACAACTTCTACCAAACAGAGGCAAATTCATTTCATTACACCTTCACATTGTCATTGGTGTATTTATCTCAGTTCATGATAGATACTGGTAGACTCTTATGACTTCTTATTCATTAATGTCAAATATTGTAAATGAATTTATCTTAAAAGCAAGTAAATGTTCAATTATGTTTGTAAGAAAAACTCAATTATAAATTCATGCTAAAGTGGCAAAAACATTTGCTTTTCAATCTTAAAAATTAGACAAACCTTTTTTTGACAAGAACAAAGAAAAGGATTCTTGCTTAAAGCTCTAACTAAAAAGAATCTTGACTAATTAATTAAGAAAAACAAGAGTCTGAGAGTAGAATAACAAGATACTTAAAGCTTCTTGAAATTTGGGCAAGACTCTGCTGTGATCTTCAAAATAAATAGCACGTAATATTTACATATGCATGTACATAAATATAAATATTTGCGTATCATGTACTCATTTTTGCATTGCAACACTTGATAGTAATTATGTTTAACTGAATGATCTAGAATCATTCTATTCAACTAATGCACGTATTTTTAGTGTTAATAGATTTTTATTATTTGTTGCTTGAGGAAAAATATTATATTTTGCGCATGACTATGAAACTGTTTTCGTTTTTTATCATAAACATGTTCCATTTTTGTATTTTATCAGAACTTTCCTTAAATTTAATATTTCTCTTATAATTATTTTTTTTTTACTTTTTCTGTATGCTTTGTTAAAACTTGAAATAAAAGTACAACAATAAGAAAAAAGAAATATTGTTGATATATAGTACAGACGATATATAATTCAAAAGAATCAGACAAAAAATTCAAGAGCGTTGTCAAAAAGTCAAGATCTGTTTTTTCTCGACAAAAGTCTTATACGGAAGTATATAAAAAAGAATCTTGAATGACGACCATCAATAAAAACAAGAATCTGAAAATAATGAGCGCAAAAACATCGATTATTTTCCTATATCACTTTATCAAACACATATTGGATCGTTAGTTTTTTTTTTACCGGCTGATAAGATATTTTCTCCTCTTTCAAACTATATATTCGCATGATATCTATTACGATGGTTGAAAACAATGTCTTAAACGACTTGAAATGACCTGATTTTTGCAATAAATGATGAAAACTGACGATCATTTTCCACCGAAACGTAAGCAGCATCCTTTAAGAAACATGTTCGCCCTAAATTAATGTACAGGATGATAACCGTATTTCTATTTTTTAATGTCCTATTCACATCTTTTTTTTGCCGCATATAGCTTGTTTTAGTCATTTTCATGGCGCCCTATTTAGACTTTCTATTTTTATATGAAACATTGTTTTTCATAAATAGAATTCCTGAATACATTTTAACCTGTACAAGTTACATGCAAAATAGACATGTAAAAAGGAAATGCACATAAACAAAATTTTTATATTTGCTATGCATGAAAGCACCATTAACCATTGTGTCAAATAAAGTAGTTCATTAATACAAAAACTAAATAATATTTCTGGATATATTTTTTTACACAGAAACTCATTACAGATGTTTTTAAACATTTAAAAGTATCATTTAGATATGCATTTAGCAAAGTCACTGAAACTTAAATGAGCTTCTTACTAGTTGTCTAGAACACAAAAGAATGGATTATTTTATTTATAGTGCTGATCTATGAACAAAAATGATGAATGCAAATTATATAAAAATGTTCACTTTTACTTAATAACTTAACATTAACATATTGTCTAACATCATGTAAAATGACATACAGACACTTTTGTAAAATGTATGTCATATTGTTGAATACTTTCTCAATAAAACCTATTTATTGATGTTTGAAAAGATTAATTGGGGCCTAAAAAAGTTTAAGGAAAAACAAAAAGGATGAAATATAGTTCGATCTCAGTAACACATCAAAAACTCTGTTTTAGGTTACATCGCAGATAATCATTGAAACAACACCCATTTTTCGCATTTTACGGCCATTCTATACGACCTGGATAAGTTAATTTTGTTATATATGCATAAATAAAATGGCTAAACTATGATTTTCGATTCATATTTCTATTTTTTTTAATATTTAATATTAATAGAATCTATACTAAGTAGAGTCAAAATAATATTGATTTTTCGCAGCATTATTCTCACCTAATCTAAAATATTTTCCATCATGTAACGTAATCTCAAAATCATTAGGAATCCCTTCGTCTAACTTTCCACAAATGGCTTTTTTTGACCCATTGTCTGAAGTTCTATTGCCCATATTTTGACGTTTTCTAACAACAACCAATGTCCTATTTCGTAACTAACGAGTGATTATTGATTGGTTAACTTTGAAACGCTTAGTTAATTTACTCTGACTGATATCATAATTATTATGAACAGATTTTGCTAAAAGTTTTAATTTTCAATTAGAATTTTTCACTTGATAACCACTCCTTAATAAAAAATATAGTTCATCAATATTTCTTCAATATGTAATAAATTGTTGTTCTTAAAATGTCTTGCTTTATAAAAAAAAGATTCACTATTGTTTGACATTATTTATTCTGTTGTGTGAGTGTCGGTCGTTCTTCGCATATCATTTTGTTTATAAATGTAGAACAAAATTAAATTCTATAGAGTTCAAAAGAGGACAAATTTTCTTATCAGTCGAGACAAATTTATTGTTCTATTTTCTCTTGGATCATTTCGTTCATGAATATGTGATAAAAATAATTTATATAAGATTTGAAGGATGAAAAATTTTTCTATCAGCTTTCTTCTCTCAAAAAGAAATACGAACCGACATTTGTCTAATTATTTTTGCATCACATGTTGTTTGAAGTTTCTATTTATTTATGCTGTTTGCTCATGAGTTTTATATGAGACAAGTAGTAGAAATCAATCAACATGATTAATAGATAGAGGACCATAACCAGACTTTGAAGACATTCAAGGAAATATCAATTGATGTTTGTAAAAAATAAAAGGATTGACATTGAAAAGAATTTCTATGAAATCATTTTTATTGTTTACTAAATAGTATTTTATCATTTAATAATTTATAGTCGTCAGTCAATCTCATCATAGATTGACGTAATTTTTTTTTATTACTATCACCTGTGCTATTGTGAAAATTCTGACTTCTCCATGTGAAAATCTATGATATCTAAAATGAAACATATGATGCATTTTTTAGATATTACCTTAATTTCAAAAACAAAATGTATAAAATCTGGGCTTTCATAAGAAATTGAATTATCTTTTGAAGAAAAAGAAAAGAATAAAGTCAAATGTATCAACAAGAGCAATGTCTTTCCAACAAAATACTAAGCTAGAACTAAGCATAATCCAATGCGGCTCTTAGTGACATGTCATTAGACATGAAGTAGATTTATAAGTCTTTGCTATGTGTTTTCTAATAAAATAGACTTTCTTGTTGATTTATATGACTTTAATTTGTTCTTAGCACAAGCTCTTTCTTTTTTTAGAAAGAAGATTATATTTATCAATTAGATTTTCTTATGGAAATAAGAATAAAATCTGAATATTAATGTAGACTACGAATTGAAATTAACTCATCACATGACTCTTCTTTGATTATAATATAGCAACATTCTAGTCTAAAACAAATTCTAATAAAAGTTCTTTTCAATAAAACAAATACTCTTTGATGTCAGTAGTGGATATTAATGATTTATATTCTATTATTTAAGATATTTTGTAATTTATTTTTAATTTTCAATAAGCTACATTAAATGAACAGAAATAACTATTTTTATTTATAGAATACTTCTCAACACATTTTCAAGTAATTTAATCATATTATACTCGGATCACTTAGCAAGAGTATTATTCATTTAGACATGAAGTCCCTTAAACAAAAAAAAAATCACACATTGGAAAAACCAGAAATTGTATTAAGGTAATATTATTGAGATCGTTATTATATAGATATTTCTAAAAGTATATGCCATATTTCATGATAAGTTTTATTTGATATTGAAATGCATTTTAGATGAGTGTGCTCGCTTGAATACACTAGATGCGTTTGATTAATTCCAAAAAACAGACATTTCAAACACCATTAGATGCGAATATTCATTTAAACGCGTTTTAATATATATATATATCCAAAAATGAAACGCGTCAACACCAGGAATTCATCCAGACATGTTTCCCCTTATTCATTTCCGTTCACAGCTGCATTTAGATATATCGAAAAACTCGTTTTGACTGTGTTTCAAAGTTACATGGATCATCAATAGACAAACGTATTTCTTTAGCTGATAATCTATAGATAATATATATTTATTTATTTAATAATCAAGCTGGTATTACAATTGTACTAACAACAGGAATATTTAAATTTGTATTGTTTTGTTCAATATTTTCCGGTTTATTATCTTCTTCTCGTAATGCTGCAAGATCTTTACCAAGGATCTTGAAAATAAATCGTTTTAATTCATGTCGAAAAGCTTTGGATACAGTTACAAATATGAAAAAACTGCTAGCATAAAAAGTAAAATAAATAAAAGTAAATAAATTCTGTAAGAAATAAATAATTGTTTCTTCAAATGGTGTTCGTATTTGATCTCTTGTTGATGTTGCATAAACAGAATATAGAGCTGGAACTAGACTTACAGAAATATAAACAATATCTTGAACAAATAAACAACGAAGTAATTGAAAATCTTTTTTTGTCATTGATCGAACTTGTTTTCGTTGATTACGTGGAATACATCGAATATGACGAATATTTTTATAAGCAAATATAGATAAAATAATCATTAAAAAACAGAAAAGACAATTAAATATCATCAAAGAATAGGTAACAAAACGAAGATACCATTCTGAATAATCAAAATAACAATCCCAAATTGAAGGACCAATTTCTTGAATATTAACTTTAATAAGTGTATGTAAATTAAAAACAACCCAAAAAAAAGTACTTAAACTTATAGAAAAATAAGCTAAACGTTTTGAACTATATAAACGTGTATCAATATTTTGTGAAGATATTAATAAACGATCAATAGATGCAAGAATAAGAATTGTCGGTAAAAGTGTAGAGAAAAGAACTGCTGTATAATGAAGAAGTTTACATAATAGAACACTTGAATTTTGTGCATAGATATGAAAACCATTGATAAATGCAGTTCCAAGAATAATAGAGTTAAGATAAACAGAACTGAGAAGAAGAAATATGAGAAAATAAAATACACAAACATTTTTTCTCCATGATTTTTTACAAAAAATAAAAATACTTATTAAATTTCCAATATTACCAACAATATAAATGGTTAAATTACCATATCGATAAAGATAAACAATAGTATTGCTTAAGATTTCATTATAATAATTATCTAGTGAGGACATTTTTACGTACGACACGACAGCAATAAACAGCACTAGTGTTTGCTATTTCTGAAGTATGCTTGATGGTGGCGTCTCTTTTTTCTTTTCTTCCTGAAACTACTTACGTTAAAATTATGACAAAGTAGTATTGTAGCATTCATAAAAATATTTAAATAAGTATGCTTTATGTCACATCCACGAGAAATATATCGATGTGCTTTGTAGTCAACTATTGTGGTGGTTTCTTGTTTTTCTCGTCGCTAGTCTTTTTTTATACATAATGAAACAGAGTATATACATAGCTCTAGCATGGATAATTGATGATATTACTATAGCATCTTTTGCATTAGAAAATGTATTCAAATATAAATTATTGATATTAGAATAAAACTGTGTAGCTTTAATAATTGATATTTAAAGTTCAATTGATGTCAGTCATAGTTTTTCTTATTTAGGCTTTATTAAATGAAGAAAAAAAAAACAAAAGATATTGTTTATATTTCTGTAAGTCTAGTTCCAGCTCTATATTCTGTTTATNAGAAACATGGCTGATGTATGTAAAGCATAGAATGCAAGAAAATGACTAAATTCGCACAGAAACAATGATTGACCCCATATTGGTTTTTGACCATCTGTGAATGTATCTACTGCACGACTTAAATTCCACTGATAAAGTGATATTGTATCCACAAGACATAAAAATATTAAATAGATATTGGTCGATGTTTGTCGATTTTCTTTATTTAGTAAAATAATAATGCATATAAGATTCCCAATAGTACCAATCACAATAAGAAACATAGGAATAATACCACTAATTATTAACTCAGCCGTTTCATAAGGGGCTGGATCTTTCTTTCGAGACCAAGTAACCATTTGATGCTTACTGATGTATATCGTATTTTGTATATGTTACAACAAATTGTTATTGTGGATAATGTTATTATAATCACCTTATCTCCTTCGCTTTATCTTCAACGTTGCTTTTTCCATCCGCTCTGCCCTTCCATATTTCAGCTCATTCTAACTTTCATATTACCAAGGAGATAAGAGGAAAAAAAAAGACATTTCTTTTCGTCTTTTTTCTCTTATTAAATTTTCTCTTATATACAATAAATAACTTTTTAAAGTCATTAGTAATGATAATAATGGTAAAATATTATCCAATCAAACTAACGATAATACTAAAGTATTTTCGTCATAATTGCAAATACAAATCCGAGTAGTCGGTAACAAAGTGACGCCTCGAATCAATTATAATCGGATTTTTTCGAAAACTATGATTATGCTAAAAATAAAGTAAAATAATACACCGGGTGACCCAGAAGTAACGAAATAGAAAAAAAAATTGAATGTCTTCATTATGGCTCGAATAAACGAGCTGATGTTTTTGTCAATGATGGAGGCATGTTCAAGCTTTATATCTATAAAGACATGCCTAGAGAAGCACTTTGTTAAGTATCACCTAGTGATCTCAACAAAAAAAAATTACTTTTTCACAGATAGGAAAAAACAATATAATTAACAAAGCGGCCCTCTATGCATGTTTTTAAGGATATAAAGTTTAAACATACCTCTATCATTGACAAAAAACATCAGTTCGTTTACTCGAGCCATAATGGAGACATTCAATTCTTTTCTGTTTTCTTACTTTTGGGCCGCCCGATATATATATGAAATTTTTCAGTTTATTTATCAGCTTTTGACACTACTTTCATCATCATCAGGTTAAAAAAGAAAAAGAAAAATATTTTTTTGACAACAAAAGAAGTACAAAGTTCAGAATTTGGTGATTCATTTATCTTGTTCATTGGATAATCTAGATCCATTTAAAAACGAAATTCTGAACTTTCTACCTCTTTTGTTGTCATAAAAATCTTTTTGTTTTTGTTTTTGAAAACCTGATTATGACGAAAGTAGTGTCAAAAGCTCGTAAATAAAGAAAGAAAAAGTTTCATATATAGTAACACTTTATTTTTCGTTTTATTAAAAACTCTATTCATAAATCAAGCATTATAAATAGGCTGTAATCAATTATAATCTGATTATGAATAATGATCATCTAATTATACTTGAAGAAAAAATCTAATTTTAATCGTAGTATCAATTCTGTTCATTCATTGAGAAAGCCTATAGGTATTTGTCGGTACCATGAATCCCAATACTCTTGTGAAACTTTATTCAAGTTCCTGTCTCGAATCCTGGTAATTCCCGTTTACACGATTTCTCGTAGTGAAACGTGATCCTTTTCACGATATTTTCAAATTTCGAATGAGGTATTTTTATGAATTGAGAATACAAGATGCTATTGAGACTTAATCTAGATTCTACTCCGGATCTCGACAGGAATAGCATAGAAGGTTCTACCCATGAAAAAAAAATTGGAAAAGATATACGTTTCAACGCAAAGTTTAAAAAAAATGACGCTACTTTTACGTTTAAATGCGTTGATTTATTTTTCAACACGTTTTTTATCAATAAAAACGGTGTTTTTTTAATTCGTATAGTCTAGAAAAAATTGCATTTTATTCAAGTATACATTTTCGTCGTTGAAATAGGCGTGTTACTTTATTGTTATTTTTATTTATATAATACGGAATAAATATAAATCAAATCTTTTTGTTTATAAAATAAAGCTGAATAAATTCTTTATTTTTGAAAAATAAATTTAAATAAGTCAATAAATATTCATTATTAAACAATATAAAATAAAGATAAAATAAATAATAAAAAAAAAAATTTCTCTAAGAATCTAATCTTTAATTTTTACCAAGTAGCTCAATAAAAGTTATGATACCATAGATAGTAATGAAATATTAAGAAAAGCTGTTTCCATACTTTTTTCAAGTATCAGCTTAATTTTTTAATAATATTACATGTCGAAGTGATGCTGCAGATAAGAAAGAATATTAATCAACATATCCTACTGTTATACTAGGTATTTGTCGATTTACCTATCATAAAACAAATCTTTGTTTATTATTTATTTTATCTTCATTTTTGAACATAAAAAAATCATTTATCTTTATTTTGTAAGCAATAAACAGTTATTTATATATTTTACGTAATTTTTCCAAAACACAGAACTTATTCATCTTTACTTTGTAAACAAAAAGATTGCATTAATATTTAATCTACAAAGTAACACCCCTGCATTTAAATCTTCGTTATTATCAAATGAGAAATAACTTCAGCTATATATAGGCAATCTGCTCAAAAACTGTTACTGTTTTAATTAAGAAAGATGGTGTAGCTTAAAACAAAATAAAGAGATTTATTTACAAAAAAAAAACAACAAGAATGTCTTGAAAGACATTTTTAACTTGATTCTGTCAATGTAGTTACGATATTGAATAAAAATGAATTTGTTTTCATTTTTTTAATATTATATATTTTCAATAAGATAACTTGCATCAAAATGAATGTAGTGGTAAAAACCAATAGTGCCATTTTCAATATTATTAAAAAGCAAGGGAAACCAAATATTATTGTGATTAAAAACATTCATAAGAAAAAGAACGGAATTTTTTTACACGGGAATACTTTTTCTATTAACTGCAAATAAAAAGGAGAAGGCTGAAAAGTATCTATGTCAAATTATTTCTAAGGGTCAAATAAAAGAAAACGAGTATTTCAATTTTCACTTCATTTCTGAGTGTTCAGAATCAAAATTTTATTTGTATACCGACTTTGAGTTTTTAAACAAAAGTATATTATACAATAATGAACATACTTTGTTTGTTCATTTATTGTTTTTTTGTCATACAATGTTTACAAAACAGTCTTGTTTTCTGCTTGTTACTCTGATCGCTTCTTAAAATATTTATATACATAAACCATTTAGAATTTTTCGGTGATATTTCATCCTATGGAAATTCAAATAAAAGGATTGTTAATTATCTAGATCATATCAGAAATCAGAATATTCACATAGTCAAAAACAAAAAAGCATCATAATTTATTATGAGAAAATATTAGGGATGGTCAATTTACATTTACCAAAATTTATCAAATCCAAAAATTAAAAAAAATAAATTTAACTTTTTAATGTAACAAACATTTTAATTTATTTTCTCAATTCAAATTAACTTGAGTTTAAATTCAAAATAAATGAAAATGAAAATGCTACTCCAAGAAAATACTGTGACATGAGTTATAGTGATATACTATAACTCATATTTAAAACCTTTCGAAAAGCATGTAAAAACTTCAGAAAAAAAATCGAATAAATTCAAAATATCGTCTTCCATTCATTAAATATAGGCACAACATCCTCTCAATGAAAACTTTTAGTCTGCATTGATAATTACTCGGAAGGTAACTTACGAGATAATTTTTGCTATTATCTGTATTCGACGACTAACACACTCTTTACACTTCCCAGATAATATTGACATTGGTCTCATTTTTGCAAAGCTATGATTTGTTCTTTCTTTCACAGTAGTGCTCATCAGACTGGTTTCGCAGTCATAACGAACGGTCTGAACCTCATCGACTCTCCGAATGTCATTTATTTCGCTGAAATACATAGAGTCAGTTGAGTCAATGAAGAGTTGCTTAAAATTAGTGGAATCATAGAGCCAAGTGCTTTTCCATTGGGTTGTATCAAGTTTAGATCTTGAAATGTAAAATAATAGACGAAATAAAAGATGATTTTGAGTGATTCCAGATGATTCTATAGTCATGAGGCAGCTGTTTCTTCCTTGATTTGTTCTGGATTTCTAGTCGCATAAAAGGATATTATTTCTTGGAACGATGTAGTATATAATCATTATACCTTCTATCAAATGGCTCTTATCTGTGTTGCAAAGATATTCGATTAAATGATTTTTAATTCTGTGCCTCTTCGTAAAAAGGTCTAATATCAACCCTTTAATAAATTTTGCGTCCTCATATTATGTACTAGAATAATCTTTTCGATACAATGTTTTAAGTAATATGCTTTGAATGCCACTTTTCATTCAATAGAACTCAATATATTGTTGCTGATATAATTTAACAACAGTCTAATAATCAGATGGTATTGATTATTAACTCTAAACGTCTAAAGTATGCAAATAATAAATCAACCTTGTTTTATTTATAAATGAATAAATATTATAGACTAATTAAAATGAACTCTATAAAACTAAAGATAATCTTAATTGTCAAATGACCAATGATGGCATTAGTTTATGAAGGACGAGATTGAAGAGTAGTAGACTTTCTTGGAAGCTTTGTCACGGTTACTCGATTGCCTTTATGTACATTGATATTTGTGGCAAGTGAAGCAGTATTTGAACGAATTATTATTGGTTTCATTTCGATGAAAGATTTGTCCGATTTAATAGTGATTACATTACCAACGCTTACGGCTCGAGTTGGTGGATTTAATGCTGATTGATTTCGTGGTATTTTTATGACCTTAACTTGATCCAATTTTGATGATTTGACTGATGACGCACTTAAAATGCTTTGCTGAGGTGTGATCGAGTTGTTCTGATTTGCCTCATCCAATCTTGATACTCGCAGAACTGTGACTGCTGAACGTCGAATGATTCGACTATTCTCACTATCTTCAAGATGATTTGGTGACTTTATATGAACATTTTCAGTTTCATTTAGTTGTTCAGTGTTATTTAGTGGTTCAATGGTAGCACGCTTGACTCTTTTGACAGAAACTGTTGACGAAACCCTCTGCTCTTCCTTATCTGTCAAATTGGTTACTTCTTTAGAAAAGTTCGAATCAGCCAAGCTTATGCGCAAGTCTGATGGAGAAGCATTGTTCATGTTATCACGAGGGTTCACTTTATTATAAGTAAGACAATTCTTAGTTGGTGTATTTGATTTGAGTATTTTGCGAGAAGCTGTAATTCTTTCTAATTCATTAGTTATAAGTCTTGACTCAGAAGATCGTTCGCAGGTATCTTTTTTCTTTGATTTTCGTCGACGACGTCGTGCAGCAGGACCCCTATTAGAAAAAAAAATAATTCTGAATCAATTTCTTTTTCAATATATTTTGTTGATTTCTTTAAAATTTCATATTATCCCGACTGGAAGAAGACTACTGGCAAACTGTCGGTATAATGTGTACTATACAGGTGGTATTTGTCGATGATGACAAAAAACCGCCAGTATACCAGCAACCAACCGGGTGGTAATTTGATATTCAAAGAATTGGGTATATTCTTACTGCTATTCTACCGCGGTATACCGATAGTAATTCGAACAAACGTGGAACATAGAGTAATATACAATCATATAGATTTCTTTTTTTTTCATACTATTAGTAAAAAGTTGAATTAGAGTTTTTTTAATGAGGAGACTATGAACAAGTTTAATTATATTATGGAAAAAATACTCACCACAAAAGAAAATACAAGCAGCAGCAGGAACAACATACAGCTAACAGTAAACCCAATAATGACAAGCCCAAAATTAATAGCCAATTCATAGATGATTCTATATAAACGAACAAATATTATATTTGAAGTAATTGTATTAAATCCATAGCAAGAACATGAGAGTCAGCTTAAGAATATAGGAAAATCTTGAAATTTGTCAAGCTAAACAGTTGGTCAATGGTACACAATTTTAAACTTTTGACCACAGTATTAAATGAGCTGACGCAGAACTTTTAATATCGATCAAAATAACTTCTTTTTCGCAGACAAACTGTTTTCTAGTTCTGTATATATGTGAACTTTTGAAAGTTCAATTATGTTTCGTAAAGACTTCTTAGACTCTGATTCAGACCGACCCATCACGATTAGACTTTAAGAAAAAATTGATAAACCTCACTTGAAGCGTTTGTTGTTGTTGCTGTTGTCCTACAAAAACAAAAACAATCAGAAATTTGATTTCGTTTATAAATTTTGATATTTATCAACTATAACAGGTAATGCATTTAGTCAGCACATATGACATAATGCGTTATTGTGCATTTTTCTTTCGTCTATTGCATTGCCATAACTAGTGACTATCAAATGCTATTTGATAACGTTTTCCCTAAGCAATACTTAAGTTTGACACAAATTCTGAACATAGAATTATGGCACAAAAAAATAGAAGAAAAATGGATAAGGATAGCATGTTTACGGTTAAATCTTTTTTGATTACTTACACGGTTGTAGTGGTCCATGTTGTTGTAGCTGCCTCAGATGTCGTTGTAGTAGAAGTTGTTGTTGTTGTTTCGGATGTGGTAGTTGTTACACAAGTATCAGATGAATTTTTTACAGTAAATGTTACACAATACTGATCAGATTGCAAGTTTTCACTAATCAACAAAAAACAAATATGACATTCATGAATAACTAACCAAGAAAAACTTTACCTTGTATATGCTACGGTACATAACTGTTGTGATCCAATTTGATTTGTCTGTGGTGTCCAAGTAAACGTTATATAGTAGATCGATGAATTTGTTGATGAATGTATAAGATTACCATGAGTCATACCAGTAATTCCACTTGCAACAACGATATCAGTAAGTGTAGCCACACTTGGAGTACATAAATTTATTGCAGATAGATTAAAGCTGATTGAGACACCAACTTGTACTTCTAGACAACGATCTAGAGGAATAATTAGAGGTTCTAGTGAACAAGCTGGTTGTGATTGAACATAAATTAAAAATTGAACTGGTACTGAACTCATTGGTGTTGTACTTGATGTATCGATAAAATCTTCAACCTATAGAAAAAGAAATGATTCTTCTATACTATACATACATATTAGATTATGTAAGAAATAGCCAGATATCTTATTTTTTTATACTCATAACGGCGGTTTTTTTTCTTGAGATTAGCATATGATTTAAAAGTTATTAATTATCTCTTTCAGCAAGAAACGATGTATCTGATACAGATGATTGTATATAGTTTTCTAACTAATAAAGTAGCTCAGCAAGAGAAGAATACTATTTACAGGTTGAGAAATATCGAAATATACTAGCACTAGTGATCGCTACTCAATAAAAATAAATAATGTTATGATCATGATTGAAGAATTAGTGACGACTGAATAGCAATCTGCTTACCTGAACAGCAACTGCATACCAGACACCAGCTTTAGTACCTGTGAATGTGATAGTGCAGTTGGATAAAGTTGTACCAGAAGGTACACTATTTGGGTAACAAATATCAGCACATTCGTCAATGGCCTGACGAATTGGAAACGATGAAGTTGATTTCGGTGTTCCTGGAGTTTCTGTAGTAGTTGTATTGATTATGGTTGTCGCAGCATTCGTTGTTGTTGCGACGGTTGTGGTGGTCGCACCCGTTGTAGTTGCTGCAACGGTTGTAGTCGCTGCAACGGTTGTGGTGGTCGCAGCCGTTGTAGTTGCTGCAACGGTTGTAGTCGTCGCAACTGTTGTATTACAACCTCCCGTGTCAGTACATGTCGATCCAGTGCATGTTGTGGAAGTACAACCATTACAAGTGCAGTCACAACCAGATAAACATGAAGTGGTGCCACAGCCACCGCAACTTCTTTTTTTTCTAATATGAATGAATTCCCTGTGACTAGTTAATTCGCTATAAAAATAAACATCAGATCGATGATTGATATATTCTTGCTTGTCGAATCGTTTTCGTCTTCGATATCCAGTTGTATATGTTGACCATCGACAGCGTACATCATCTCCAGTATTCGCATCCGAAACAGGTATATTTATTTGTATTGTTTTATTTACAATGGCATATTGTGGAGAAACAAATTTGGCAACAGGTGGAGTATTAATAAAGCCATCTGATCGTTTTCGAAGATCAATGTATGTTACAATAGACCAGTCCAGACCTTTTTCAGCAGGATCATTTAATGGTACCCAAGCACTTCCTCTATAAGCTAGATAAAAATGTGCATCAGCAGACAGAGTAATATTTTTCGATCGTTCACTTGTCATCATTTTCAATGATGAACTACTTGATGTACAATCAGTGAGAATATTAACTGGTGTACTAGAATAACCACCATCAGTCGAACAATCAACTACACAAGTTAGATTAGTATTGGCAGTACCAAATCCACCAGTCGAGATCGGTACATTGTTGGCACATTGTATATATGGATATGTCCATGAATAAGATTGTGTAATAGTAATATCAACTGGAGTGGAATTATCATAAGGATCAATCGGGGCCCATCCTATAGTTCCTCCATTGAAGTGTTTTGCACCAGTAAAAACGAAAACATAAAACAATATGAACGGACCTAAGTACATTGTTTCCCACTACTTAAATCGATGAATGACAATCTAGAAAAGCAAATGTCTCGAAAAATATCATATGATGAAAAAACAACTGTTAATAGCATATCAAAATATTCCATGAATTTATTCTTTGCTAAATAGGATGTGCATTGAAAAACAATTTCTGTCAACAAGATGTTTTTTCAATGAATGAAAAAAAAGAGTAAGTTGTCTGATAAAGTTGGAAGTAAGATAAACTTTTTTAACTGAGAAAAAACGATATTGTGCATATTAAGAACAGTTCTGAATATCAATATGTATTACTTGTTCATTAGCACGATTGTTATCAATGAAAGTATGCATGAGCTTAAAGATTTAAAACTAGCTTCACGATTTTCGTGATTTTTTTTACAAAAATTACAAAGAAAGTGGCATTTGGAGGGATGAAACGGATATAAAAAATTATGCATTTCAAAATCATTAATGAAAAGGAAGATTTTAATGAAGAAAATGCAATGAGTTTTATTTTTTATAAAAACTATGAAATTAAACTGATCACAATGGCTGTCTTAACCAATAAATTTGAACGACATCCATTTTTTTTCCGTTGCATCATCTTAATAGAATTGTTTTTCGATTTTGTAAATTCGTGACTTGTGCGTTTTTCAGATTTTATTCTCTTGCTATTGCAATATCTGAACTAGAACTAGATCTATTAATTTGTAAGAATAATCTAATTTTGAAGTTCTTCTATTAAATAAGTATCTTAAAGTAAAAAGTCAATGTAAGTATGAATACAAAACTACAGTAGATAATTTGCCTGAAATATAGATTGTCCTAATCGCCCGGATAACAATGATAGAAATTTCAATACCTGTTAACACAATTCTTATCGCAATAGTATCAATTGTTCCTAAATATTATTGTTGCTCACCGTGATGATTGAAATCTAAGATGCATATGAAAGATGCCTTCTGTTGTTTTTATTTTTGCTTTGCGAAATTCTGTGACGAAAGCAAAAGAAAGATTTTTTAATATAGAAATGAGTAGAATTTTGTTAGCATCTGCAGCTTATATTTTTTCGAAACCATATCAGTGATGATTACTTTTCAAGTTGATTAATATTCAATCACACCGAGATGGCTTATCAGTAGTCACAAGCAACGCGTGTTGCATACTATTTAAAAAAAAACTGTTAAAAACAAAAGCTAATATACTTTTGCTAAATCAATATACAAAAGCCAAGGTACATATTATTTATGAAAAAAGCGCATTTTATAGAATTTGATCTAAATTTAGTTATGAAAGCGAAGTATTCACTTGAAAAATATCTATCTATCTACTCTTTATGAAAGTTAATATTGACAACAGTCAATTCCAATTGAATCTGATACTAGTCCTATAACCAGTTAAATATAAACAGGAAAAATATTAATAGAAAAGTAAGAATTTGTAAATTACTTTTAAGAACGGATTTTTCTTGTTTAATTCTAAAATTGAATAGTACGACGTTCGTATCCAGACACACATACAATACGTTCTCTAAGAAGATATCAATGTTATTATGAATTGTCAAGTAAGAATCTTTGACAGGTATGTATATGGATTCCGAATATTTCATGACAAAATCATACGGATATTCATCCTGCAAAAAGTATCACTGAAGTTCAAATTTCCTAGTGTATGTTAGTATGAACTTCGCGGCTATCAATGTCTTCTCATAATGTTTGCTTTTCTAATTTGTGTGCAATATTGTCCCCGGTTCTTTTTCATTTGTTATTGATGGCATATATTAATTAATAGAAATTTGTGCTGCTTGTTCTTATTCTTCGAGAGTTTATTGATTGTTATGATTCCTTTTTCTTATTAAAAATTCCTTTAGACAACGTCAGCAAAGAAAGGAAAAAAAACAGAAGACATTGATTAAAACTTTTTCTTATGCCAGTAATAAAGTGAATTGTTTGATTTAAAGAGAGCATTGTAAATATTTGTTCTATTCATAGATTAATTGATTTTTTTTCTTATGCTTGCTTATTTTTTTACCAAAACTGATGACGAAATCATGAAATAGAAAAGCAATTTCGCCGGATTTTAATAGAATGACAAAATAAAAAAGAAGTTGGATGAGAAAGCGAAAAATGGTCGAACGAAAATCGCGCGCCAATAACCAATCAATGCGAAAATTGGACAATGCAAAAAACAGTCGAGAAATTTATAAGAACAAAAAAATAAAAACTTTTTATAAATAAAAGCTGACACTGTGACGAATAAGCGAAAGTAATAGAAAAAAAAAGACGGAATACGTCATTATCTAAGTGAAAATCACTACGAAGAAGAATATATGTCTGTGATACATGCAGTATGTGAATTAGAATTTCTTTTCAAAGCTATAATTTATAGGCCAACAAATTTTTATGAAGTTATATCGAAATTAATTCTTATAGAAAAGTAGAACTAAGAAAAAGCATATCGAGTGTGTGGTATGGGCGTGGAACTCCATTTTGTTTACTTTACGGCAAGTTAAAAATAAATAGTCGACATTCACTTTTCTTTTATAAGAGATTATTGCAAAAATAAGAACGACTGCAAGTAATTTATGAACGAACATTCTATTTTTTTATACAATTGAAAACCTTTGTTTTTTTATTATAAATTTCTCGACTATTTTTGGCATTGGCCACTTTTCGTAGACCCAAGCTGAATACATTTTGATTGAATGTTTCTTTGGGTTTAGGACAGTTGGTCGCAGGACATTTGGTCGCCGGACAGTTGCGCGCGGGCAGTTGGTCGCAGAACAGTTGGTCGCATGGACAGTTGGTCGCATAGCATAAATAAGAGGAATATGAAGTGCAAAAACAATTGAACATTATTTATTATTTTATAAATAATTAAACAGAGAACATTACAGAGAAATTCGAACAATAAGACAACAAAATGTAACAAGTAAAACAAAGTTTTCAATAGTGAATAAGACAGCAACCAAAAAAAATTATAGAGACAATAAACGTCCAATGCACGTTAATTGATCATAAGTATTAGGATGTGGATTGTCTACTAATTGACATGATTTTCATGTTCACCTACTATTTTAATAAATTCATAATTTGATGTTGTGTGCAGTCGTCCATGGCAAGAATATTTTTTTGAGTATTCACATTTCCAAAGAATTTTTGTTACAGTTTTTCGATCAATTGTATACGAGTAACTGTTGTGTATTAATAAAGGTGTATTTTTAGAAGTTTTTGTTAGAGTAACAGATATTATTACTTTCGTAAAATGACTTTTTTCAATTTTCAACAACTTATATACACGTATATGTATACATGATTATCGTCAAATGAAAATGATCATTAGATTACTATCCTCAATTTGAGCAATATTGAATTAATTACATCAATTACTCAATCATGATGATTATTCTTCCACACGAGATAAATTCATTGTATTAGTGTTGTGTGGTTATTATACTCATATTCCTCTTATTTACACTATACGACCAACTGTCCGTGCGNCTTTCCCTAGAGATTATATGAAAAATGTCTGTTTTCGTGAGAGAAGTCACTAATTTCATATAATCTCTAGGGAAAGAGATGTTTCGAATATCTTTTCATAATTACTAAGAACCTGAAAGTCTTTTGTCAAAACTTATATAGTCTATGCAAAATTTGATTCTCTATCCAACAGTGTACTTTAAATTTAATTTTGTTACATTGAAGAAGCAAAAATGTATTTTTTGTCGAACTACATACTGACAGTTTTGAGATTTAACTTTTCTAACATTTAATTTCTTAAACGGTAGGAAATTTGAATTAGTCTTCGTCAATCTTTTTTTTCAGCACTTAGCTGAGTGTCTCCTCTTTCGAACGGGTCCTTAAAAGAACCATTTGAGCTGGTAAAATTAGTATTGATTTAATATTTATATATTTAGAAGGCGGGTGGTCTTATAATTATGAGACTGAAGAGATTCATAAAATGTTTTTGAATGTATTCATTGATGCTAATTGATCGAATTCAAATCAATATGGCACATGATATAATGCTACTATGTGCCCAAACATATGACATTAGATTGGGAATAAAACCTTCTTTAGTTGAAGAAATCTCTATTGTTCTCAAAACTCAAGGGAGGGGGCTTATAATTTTGAGGCCCCTGTATTTTTCTTTCTCCAGTTTCTTCATTGACCATTCAGTTAATATGTGAATTTAAGAGTCCATACAATTTTCTCGATTTAAAAAATGATTTATTTTGTACTACAGAAAAGCAGATTATCTTATTAATCATTAGGAATGAAGAAGAAAACGGTGAGAAGAATCACAATTCTATAGTGTCACAAAATTAATTTAGAATCAATCATTAGGTTGATCTCTCGATCCAACAATGTAGATAAATCTCTCGTATCGTAGAAAGATGAAGAAATTCTCATGATATCTGTTATCTGTTTGTCTAAACACTTGATATCTCAAAAAAATGCATTCATTTGAGAGGAAACTTTTAGGATAAATCTATCTATGAAGAAAATTTCAGGTGAAAAGTCTCATAATTGACTAGAATCAAAACATTCCGCAGCCTATGATCGAACGACATTCGACAATACGAAATATTCACTTATTAGATTTAATGAAAATTTGAGTGGAAAATTTAATTCATTTTTTTTTTCGTGGATAAAATGATTACTGATACCTTTGTTTTTTAATTATTTCTGTCATTGTTATATGTTGATAAAACAAAGAAAGGAAAAAAGAATTAAAAAAAGTTTTTTTTATTATGTTGTAATCAGATTCAAGTTGAGTATAATATGTCAAAATTTTTATAACCAATGACAAATAATGATGCACAAAGAATTCTTGGTGTAATAAAATGAAATAATTTTTATCTGATATTGTTTTTTGTTCTCTTGACATATGACTCAAAGGTCATCGACAAACAGCGACATCCTATGCAATTCATTCTGCGAATGGTCAAATATACAAATCGATTCATTGAATTGAATAGTCTTCTACCTTAATGATCCTGCTATATTAACCGCAGACAAGTTTTGAACATTAAATTCATCGTGTTCGATGTTTTTTTTCCTTCTTTCTATCAGCTGATGTAATCATATATCATGTGTCATAATGTAATTATTATTTCAAGGTTATGATGGTCGCAAATGCCAAATCCAACTTATTGAAATTTATGACACGTTCTTTCTTATATACTACCGTTTTAGTTTTTCTTCTCATTGTATTTTGATCTGTCTACTCATATTACATTTGTTTAACATTCAACTCTTTGATCTTCTTTTTTTTGTATTATGTTTGCATTTAGTTGTTTTGTTCATTAAAAATAGTAATGATACGAACAGACATTTTTTAATCGTTAGTGTACTTTTATATTCATATTAAGGTGGACGTTTTTACATTTTATTTTATTACGTTCATATCATCATTAGTTTATTTTGATAGGTGAAGTATATAGGTACGAATTGGTACTCAATCGTGAACTCCTTTTTTTTCTTTTTCTTTCATATGCTCTCCTCCGCCTTCTCCTTCTCTTTTCTTTCTTTTTTCTTTATAAATACAAAGCAGGTAGAGTAGAATGAAGACAGACGATGGTCTAGGTTAGGTATCCTTGTATACTTGACGACGTTAATGCATAAACGTCCAAATGTCAGTTGAGCTCATGATAGATCTCTTATATAAACAAGGCCAATAGAGAGAACACAAAAAAAAAACGAAGGAACTATGTCAGTATTTCTCTCTGTTATCACCAACGAGAAAATGATGTCAGTTTATGTCGACTGCATCAGACAGGAAAAAAACTATTTCTCTCTGTTTTTTTTCGTCGCTGCTACTCTGTTTACTTGCTCAAGAGCTAGAATACATTGGCGACAAATATACACCCACATACTGTGAGATGAAAATACTATGGAATAGAAGAGATAGAAAGGAAATGAATCACATTTGAAGAGAACTATGATTAATATGATGGAAAGTTGTTTATATACATATATATACGTGATTATATTGAAGTTTTTTTTTCAGATTGTTTATTAATCATGACGATCGAACAGTTTCGAGATTGTTTTGTGGTAAGTTGATGCATCATAGCATCAATACTCAATTTTATTAATATTTTAGGGTGAAAAAGGCTATGAAGCTTTAAAAAAACTAATGAAAAGTGGTAATGAATTATGTACAGATACTGCGAAATGTTGGCAAGAACGGTAAAAAAAAATTCTAATAAACATTAATCATACCAATTTCAATATGTATGTTTTTTTAGTTATGAAATCGAAATTGCTTATGGAAAAGGTCTTCGTAAGAACAGTGAAACATTTCAAAAGCTCGCTAGTCGAGCAAAAGGGTATGGAAAGAAAAAAAAATTCTTATTACAAAAAGTCTAATTTCTTATCAAATAAATAGATCTTTAGTACAAGTATTTACAACTATTGCTACACAAACAAATATTGAAAGTGAAGCACATAATTTAATAGCTAATGTATTACTTAATAAAATATCTGTTCCAATGAAAAATCTTGCTGACACACAACTCAAAGCAAGAAAACCAGTAGATATTAAAAAAGAAATCTTTGATAAAATTTAAATTTACTTTTGTTTTCTAAGATCGAAGATGCAGTAAATGGAAAATTTAAAGCATGGAAGGATAAAAAAGAAATTGATACTAAAGTAAAGCAAAAGATTTTTCATTTACATAAATTATTATTATGTTTATTTTTTAGTATCGTCAACGTCAATTTGAAAATTGTAAAGATATCGAAGGATTATATCTTAAAATGGATGAAACTCCAAAAACAACAAAAAATTCAGTGAAAGAAGTGAGCAAGGTAAACATAGGAAAAAAAAACTCGCTTTGTTTTTTCCAATAGAAAATATATTATCATAAACAGGAAAAGCAATTGATTACGGCTTGTGTATCCCCTGGTGAATATCGTCCAAATACCTCTGAAAAGGTGTGAAATATGAATATAAGAATAATAATACTTGTTGTTATTGCACGACAATTTCTTTTTCCTCTTTCTCTTGAATTTAATTTAACTTCAAAATTAACAATTCGTACTGTCCTCCTGATATAGATTTTGCCGCTAACGATGACTTGCTTGAGCTTTGAGATAAAACATCTAGTGTATTTATAGTTCTGATATGGATCCTTATAAATTTGTCACTAAAAGCGATACAAAACTCTTTTTTAACACAGACTGTGTAATATAGAAAAATCTGCTCAGACAAAAGATTAATCTGATTTAGAATTTTAAAATGCAAAAAAGAAATATTCTGTATATCTTGAATCATTTGAGAGATATTTTCATTTTTCTAACGAAAAACATATTAATAAGGTCGAATTTTAAAATAATAAGTCTATTAAAATCTAATCGTTACACGAAAAGTCCTGAAAGAGAAGACTTTCACATATTCAAACTTAATTTTGATATTTTTTTTCGCAAAAAACTAGGTTTACTGAGGTACAGAAACTCTTAAGCGAACTGTCTCTTTCCAGAGAACATCTCATCAGAAAAATTTGTCTTAAACTAAAAATTGCTCATCTAATCGTTCTACGTTTTCAGCGGCCACATGTCCCATAGAGTGGAAGCTTTTTCTAAATATACTGGACACTGTTTAGGATGAATATTTATTTTGTTACAAAAAATATTATTCTACAAAGAAAAGCTCTATTTAAAAAAACATCCTTTTTTTATGATACCTTCGATATTTTTGCTTTTTTATTCGAAGAACAAAAAATAAAAAGATGTTCTCTCGAAACAGTGTCTAGTGCTTGTAAAAAAATTTTCAGTTCGATCGAAGATAGTATCTTGAAGAAACGGAGGGGGGAGGGCGAAAATTGGGACCATTGTGATCTCAAAGAAGATAGCATTCGTGATTTAAGAATCTATGACAACTTTTGCTCTACTCATCAAGATCTACATACCCTGAGAATTTCCAATTTTTCTAATGAGTCTTTTTTCAAAAGACTCAGAACTGGAGGAAAGATATCCTAAAAGAATAATGTCATTCGATATGAATAATTTTTCTTCCTTACCTTTTTTTTTTCTAAATATAGAATTAATAAAAGAAAATAATTTATTCGTGATTCATTTTATTTTCCTTTATTCTATCATATTAATGATTTTCTATTGTCGAAATGGAATAATTCAATAATGTCATTTTCGTCTATAGTTGCCTGCTCATCTCAGTGGCAAGAATACATTAAATGTAAGAATTCTAATTAATATACGCACTGACTATTTTAACTTAATCTATAATCGCTATCAACTGCTTTTATATATATATCAGATTTTATTCTTTAATTTAATTTTGCGTAGTATTAATTGCTTAATGGTTAATAGATTATTTCTTTTTTTTTCAAAATATAGATTGAAATGTCACTACGAAAAGCAGAACAAGAATTAGAAAAAACAGAAAAAAAATATCATGAATCAACAAAAGATGTTGAATTAGCAAGACAATCATGTGATGCTGAAATGTGTCGAGTAAGTGTTTTAGTTCTCTTTTTTCTTCATTTTGATTAAATTTACAAGAATATAAATATTTTTTTCAGAGTTGTGATCAAATGCAAATGATGGAACTTGATCGAATTAATGAAATGGAAAAATTCATTCAAACATATACTAATTCAATACAAAAACTTAATGAAACGATGAATCAAGTATTTAGACTTTTACATTAGAAGGATTTTAATATTAAGAAGTAACAGACCTTAAAACCTCCTGGCACATGTGCATTGAAGTTATTCTTTTGTTACATACTAGAAAAAAATATTGATAAGAAACTTTCGCTCTTTATAGACGTCTAGAACAATTTGTGTCTCTAATCTGAAGCTTTCATTTTCGAATTCTATAATACTTCTTGAATTGTTCGAGGACACAATTAGATATTGAGCACATTGTTTTCGACTCAAATAAAACAATTACTTATGATTATTTATGCAAACATGAATTCTTACAAACCAAAAGAATAATTAGTTATAATTCTTTTTTTTTAAAGATAACACAAGAATTATATTCCATCCGAATAACACCACAAGATGATATTGTTATAGAAGGTAAACTTAATCTACAAACAACTGAAACTGAAATTCTACTATATGATATTTATGTATGTAAATAAATATTATCTTTTATTTACCTACAACATATGTATTTGTTTTTTTTTAATCAAGGCTGAAAATGAACATAATGCAATGAGTCAAGAACGACGAGTATTAAGTCTTATGAATTGGATACGAATGTTAAAGCAAGATATTGAAATACAACGTCGATCAAAAGATGGTTTGTTTTCATGCTTTGTTCTATTTTCTTACTTCTTTTTTTCTAACATTAATAATTTTTCCTGCCTATGAGATGAAGAGAACGAAAAAACATAGCACGTCCATTTTTCATTATAGTAGGTAATTTTTCCCAATTAAAATATCCTGAGGAAGAATCACCAGACGATGATCGAAGTGTATCAAGTGATGGAGCGATGTGTTCTACATCGTCTCATTCACAAACAGGTACCATCTATATTGTATTGATCTTGGTTTTTTCTTTCTATTGATGATTGTCATTTGTTTCAAAACAATAAAAAAAAAATTTAATTAAATATTGCCCTGCTCGATTGTATTAGATATTGTGGTTCATCGTGAAAAACATCGAGACAATTTATCGTCTTCATCAGGTAATGATGATGATGATGATAATGATGGTGCTATGTATCATCATACAAAAAGAGAAAATAGAAAACGAGAGGGTATTTTTTTTTCTTCTTCATTTTTGGTATATTTGATATATTTATTGCACCCATTCTATCAATGCTTGGGCACGATTGTTCGTCATGTTTGTCTCTTGATGCTTGTACTATTTAGTTTTAAATCATTGGTTGTTAATGTTTTTTTGTATTAAATCATTTTTTTTCTATTTAGGTATTGAAAATTTACAAGGATTTTGTAAACAAAATCAAAAGTTTTCAACAAGTGTTAATCCGAGTGAAATATATGTTAATCGTGAAAGTGTAAGAGGATTTTTATTGAATATAATTATGACTGATTTGTTTTTTTTTAATGTTTAATTCAAGGTTCGTCTTCTACAATGTCTTTATGAAGGAAGTTTATATAAAATGGAATCAGTTTATAATCAAATTAAACACTTACCTGAGCCACAATATGAACATTCACAACGTTTTGCCAAAAGTTATACTGATAAAGTACGTGAGAATTTCATCTCTTGATAGAAGATGCAATTTGAATGTATTTTGTTATGTGAAATATAGATCGATTGTGCTAATTTTATTCTGTTTATTGTAATAGATCAGAGAAATGTGTTTTGTTTTGAGTCGAATTTCAAAAAAGAGAAAATCTTTCATTGCAAATTTTCATTTTTTTTTCGGACGGTGTTTAAAGATAAATCTAGCATGATTTCCAAGGTAAAAATTTTTAAAACCGAATTTTTTTCTTTGTCCTGATTTCGAGAATTTCGAGGATGTGATAGACCGGCATTTTGTTCAGAACTACAGGTAGTTATGGTAGCAGGAAAAATATGGGACTAGGAAATCTGCTGTTCAACAGCACCGGATACCACAAGATAACTGGAAGGCAGAAGTATTCTTCCTTCTTTCTATACTGTATGAATGTGTCAGTATTTTCACCGAAACTTCACATTTCTAAAAAATTCTCTTAGAATTAATTTAGCTTGTAATGAAGAAATCTTTTTCAATTTTCTAGGGAACTCCAACAACTCTTCTTCGAATTCCATTTCAACCATTAAGTCAAAACCCTCCGACTGCTCCGCCTACTGCGGGTTATCTTGCACATGCAATGCCGATAGTTGCCGCACCAGTTATGATGCAACAACCTGTACCACCACCACCATATTCAGTTCATAAACAAGCACCAATAGGCTGGGCAATTAATGAACTTCCCAATGATCATCTAACACAAGGTAACAAAATTTTCATCTATTTTATATAATTATTCTGGACTTATTTCGATGAGTTTAATCATGAAGACTATCTATTGATTATTATAGATCATAGAGCCTCTCCCCAAAATTTGAATTTCTCTGATGAAAAAGATTCTTGTAAGTTTCGACTAATAACAAACATTTGCTTTTGAAAACAACCTCTTTTATTATCTTAAAAAATAACATCTGTTATGCTTAACTTCTTCATTTTATTTCGATCAATCAAGATCTAAGGTAGTTCCAAATATTTGCTCCATAAAATAAGTCAAAGCTCATATGCTTTAATTGTGTTTGTATTCCATTCTATTCAACTAATAACACATGTTTGCTTTTATTTTTACAAACAAATTCATTCAGGTTTACCTTTAAGGCGTAAGTTTAAATCACTGTGTGTTGATCAATGCATGTGATCGATTTGCTTTCATATATATATATATATATTAATTGCGATAATGAAAATATGTTTAATAAAGAATTCAATTTTTTAATTTGTATATAGATAATCGCTCAGCGGCACCTACACCACCTTATCCAGTTCTTCCGACTGTTATGATATCATCAACAGATTCTAATCGACAACAACAAACAGTTAAACATGTTAAAGTATTACATGCCTATGATGCACGACATGATGATGAATTAACTATACGACCAGGTAAAATTGAATATTGATATTTTTATTAATTTTAATTTGATATAAATATTTTCAGGTGATATTATTGTATTACTTGAACGACGTTCTGATAATTGGTATAAAGGCAATTTGCATGGAAATATTGGTTTATTTCCAGGCAATTTTGTGCAAGAATTATAAATTTAATACTAGTCTTTAATTTTTAATATTTGTTATTTGATATCAGCCTTTTATTAGTCTCATAATGTTTGTAGAACAGTGGTGGTAAGCAGAAATTAAACAAACGAATGGATTATTAAAAGGCGTGAACATTATCATGTTTTTTTTTGTATTTGCCATGTTTGTGTGTATTTATTATTATTTTGTTTTCTTTCTTTGTTTGCCTTGAATATATCATCTTGACATTGATTTCTGCATCAAAGAAAATTATGATCAAAAAGAAAACTAATCTCTGTGACATGAGCCATTTTGTTTTTCGAACAATAAAAAAATCTTACGAAAAAAAGTAGTATCTTAGTCGTTATAAGCGAAGTAACTATTTGCAAGTCATACCATTAACTATTGGGTTACTTTAGTAGAGTTTACCTTGTTATTAAATGTGACTAATGTGCTCCGAAACAATTTTTCTTCTTTAAATATTTATACGTTGTTGTTTTCCGACAATTATGAAATGAAACAAATGGGCAGATTTTGATAGGATTTAATGAATGATGATTGTCAATAATCTAGACATACAAATTTTGATTATTGATTTCTTTTATTTTGAATATTTAAACGAAACAACAAAATAGAATGAATGAGTGATCTTTTGACTAACTTTGTTAGAGTGATTTCGTTGATTTAATTGAAATCTTTATTCTTTTATTTATTGATGCAGTTATAACTTTCGTACTTCATGATAATATATTTTGTATATGAATTTCTCTTCTTTTTATGATCAGAAATAAATTTATATGGTACCCTCTCAAAGTAATAATTGTCTACATCGATTGTTAGATGTTGTGTATGAGAACATAAAAGAAAAATAGGTCGATATTAACTAAATTGGTACTTTTGTTACAGAATCACATTTTGAATTGGTATTAATGTTTGATATAAATTGAAAATTTTCATCCGATTAGACTATCATTAAATATTTGGTCATTATTCTGTAGAAAATGAAAGGGTTTGGTCCCACTTCATCGAAAAAATAAGACTAATTAGTCATTTTTCTCACTTCATCGACACTTTTTTTTTCCTATTTCATCGACAAAGTTTTTTTCCCGCTTCATCGAAACTTTCTATTCAATAGTATTTATTTACAGATAAATAATTTGGTTACAGAAATTAAGAAGAAGAGAAACAAGAAATGATGAGAAAATAAATATAGGTTCTATATCAGACAATAAACATTTTCTACCTTTAGTAGTTTCAGTAATCAAAAAAATCTTGATTTGAATGCATATGTTATATTCACAGCACAGGCATTTATATGTTTTTGTAGACAAAAAAACAGAAAAAGACAAAGAAATCAATGGAAACAAACACATAATGTTTCTTCTAGTATATTCTGCAAGACTAATCTCATATGTGAAGAACAATCATGTTTACTAACAGAAAGCGTTTATATGCCCTTTATGTTGATGATAACACTTATTTTAAAATTGTTGAATAGTGTCACCATGCTCTACTCAATATCTTTCTCCAACAGAAGATTCTTTCATTAATATTTGAAAACTGTTCATTCAAAAATTTGTCGATGAAATGAGAAAATGAATTTGTCGATAAAACGGGAAAAAAAATTGTCGATGAAATGGACTAATTAAGGAAGTGTCGATGAAACGGGAATATACCAAATGAAAGTTATAAAAATTGATGACTAGACTAGCTATTTGTGTTAAAAAAGGAGTGTAACACTTTAGCAATAATACCAATATGAGAAATTATTCAAAGGTTATTTCGATAGAAATTACTTTGATCAAATAGTTCTCGTTTGTCAATAGACCTTTTTCAACAGTATTTTAAAACAGATTAGAATCAGTGGATTTAAGTTCAGATAAGGAGTGATTGACATAAAACTGAAAAGTTATCGAAAACTTTTCGAGAGATACAATGTGTAGGTGTCGGTGTGAGTGTGAATAAGCAATCTATCGGCACCCACACCACATACCAAAGAATAAAAAATCAGATTTTCCACCTAAAATTTTGCTTATAGATATGTCTAATAATCGTTAGAATATTCTGAAATTTTCAATCAAAACTAATGCTTCTTTATCACAATATTGATTTTCCAAAATATAGTCATTTGCCACAGATATGTTACAAAATCGATTATTTTTTGTTGGAATTTTCAGAATATTCTAAGAGTCATTAGACCTATCTATAGGTAAAATTGTAGATAGAAAACGGTAATAAATTGACCCCAAAAGCGCATGTCGACGAACCCTATTATACTTTTGCTAGTCTCAATGATCATCTTTTTGTTGGTTCAATATAAACTCAAAGGGCAGGTACCAATTTGAATAATTTTCTCGATAGATGATTCTACCTAATGAACACATTTATTCTGAAAAGCTTTATACCATTTGGAGATATTTCCTCGTAACAAAGAAGTTTTCTTTTTTGTTATAGAATACACTTCTTAAACTTTTTATCGTCTATTCTACATAATTCTGTTTGTGTTATTTTCAGATGTGACAAGTACAGAAGATGCATGGTTTCTTGTTCCTTCATCAACTAATCATAAATAGAGTGATCTTGTTGAAGAACTCGGTGAAACACTTCTATCAACAATATTAATCGTTTTATGGAAAGGAGTATGTGGTTCTGATGATGAATTTTGGACAGTGTGTTAATCTATTGAAGATTTTCTTTTCTATATTAAGAAGTTTGTTTCTTCTAGACTCATGGTCAAATTTGTTCAGTACTTCGCTATCTTCATTATGACCATACATTTTTATTAACCATTAGTTGATACCGAACGATGCATACTTGAATTTTAAAGCATGGAAACATGTTTAAATAATCTCAAAATAAATGGAGGTATGATATTCATTTACTGTTGGATCATTGACGAAACAGTATTCTTCTTCCTACGTGTTGTTTTGCTTCTTTCTTTATTATTTTATGTTTTATTTATAAAAAAAACAACAAAAAAATTAATTATTTATTTATTTATTTACTTAGGAGAAGCAATATTAAGCTATGAAAATAATTGTCGTGAATTAATTAAAATTGTTGATGATTTTCTTTCACAAACAATGGAAAGTAATGATCAAATAGTAGAAAGTTCTATTAATGGTAAAATTATTCTTTTAAAATAAAATCAACGTTAGTTTTTTTTTTTATAGAGTTCTTCGAATATTAAAAATAATGTTTATATTTGAAGAAAATCGTACTGATGATCAAACAGTATGAACAGTTTTTGCTCATGATGACTATTGAACTGAAATATCATTAACTGCTTTTTATATTCTATTAAATATTCTTGCTCATATTATTAAATAGTCATTCATTAGATGGACATGAAAAAGCAGCTTATTTATTATTGAATGTAAGCAAAATCTTTTCATCTATTTTGCAAAAATGAAGATTATGAACATTTGGGATATTTATTATCAATAATAAAAACAATTATTAAGAAATTTTATGAAGTTCTATAAATGAATGCACAAATACCATGGCATAGAACAATCTAAACAGCACAAGACAATTTTCGTCAATATAGTTCATTATTAAATAGTCAAGAATGAAAAATATTTGTTTAATGACATATTGAACCACTTGCTGCACATTATAGCATGTAATCGCCCCGCATTAGTAATATTCATTGATTTTCTATCCGCATTCGATAAGTTATGGTATCCTGCTCTTATTCCAAATCTTCTCGAGTTAGATATGCCATTGCCTCTTGTCCGCTGGATATACCAGTGGTTACAAGGAAGAACAATGGCAATTCATCATGGAGAATCAAGATCTAAAACGATTCAGATGTTTTCAGGTGCTCCACAAGGTTCTGTTTTATCAGCAACACTCTTTCGTTTACACATCCNATTTGAAGAATTAAAGAACGTGCAACTTAGAACAACTTGAGCCAAAGCTGATTCCAATATCGGTAATGGAACAAACGTTTCGAGTCGATATAGGTGATATGCTTCCAAAAGATAAGAAGCCAAAATCAAATAGAAAAACAGTTTTATCCATTAAACGGCGTGCATTATTACTTGTACCAGCTTATTGCACTACAACATACAAGATTCAAGGTCAAACCTTAAATAAAGTTGTAATGGATTTAAAAATGCCAAATGAAACTGATGATACTGCTGCAGTCTATGTACCGTTGTCGCAGGTAAAACGTTTGACTGATTATGTTATTTTGCAATATTTCGATTACAAAGTGTTGTTAATTAAACCCAGCAAGTCACAACTGGTAGAAATTGAACGACTCGATAAACTATATTTAGAGACCCAAGCACGTTTTTCAGAATGGTTGTAACACCTTTTCGGCTATGTATTAAAACTACTCTCGTTTGTGTCAATTTTTATGTATACGATTTTCTTTTCTATATTATTTGCTCTATGATCTATACATTTGAACATTTTTTATTGTCCGTGTTGCATGTATTAGCAGCATTCTCTTTTTTTTCGACTGTTATGTGAAACGATATGTGAAATATCCAGATACCACTTTTGTTCTATATATTCATCACTTTTTTTTTTCATTATAAATTTAATATCTTTGTAATTCATGATTAGTTGTCAAATTTCACGAATAAACACACGCTCTACAATACTATCTCATACTTCTAAGTAAATCATTTTATGACACTATGTGACTAAGATGGCCCATAAATTCGGCAATGAAATCATGTTTCATTTTAAGCACTTTTTTTGCTGATATTTTGGTATAAATGGATTCTGGCTGAGACACATCCGGACAAGTCTTGGAGAATCAAATTCAGTTCTGAAAATTGCAATCAACTTCTTTCAGTTCATTACTATTGCCTCGTAGAATACTACTGTTGCTAGAAAATAGTGTTATCAACTAATACTAATATGAGTGGTTGCTGTTTCATATTCTCAATAAGTTTGTGTTGAAAGACACATTGTTGTCATATTAACAATTTCACAGCATTTCAAGATATTGTTGTAACTCCCGCGATATACAAATCAGGATTTTACGATACATATTTTTGTAAGATTTCATTTAATCAAAACGTTAGCGCGAAATAGCAATTTTATATGCAGATATTACTGTCATTTGAAGCTAAGCACATTTTGAAAGTCAATTATAACATTATTGTGGTAGAGACGATTCGGTAGTTTTGATATTCTTAAAGTTTTACAGGGCAAAGTAGAATAGTATATCGTTGCTCTAAAATCTTCAGTCGAGGGTTAAGCGAATCGCACAGCGACGAGCGTTACTTGTAGATAACACTGGCATGCTAAATCGTTTGAGTGGCAGTAGTAAAATAATTGACCCATATTCATGAAGAAAGATTCATGTTGAATATTATTAGTGGGAAATAATTTTTCATCGATAGATAACCTAAACTTGTGTATTTCAATGTTCATTGTAGTGAATCTCTTATGAATATTATCGTCAGTCGATTCCATTGCTGAAAAATCTTTTATTTCATTGTATCCGATTTAAACAATATCCAGTAATAGTCGAGTGCCAGCTCAAAATTCATCGCATCTTCGCAGAGTTGTGCCATAGACCATAAACAATCGTTTGATGTTTCTTTCGCACACGACGAATCTTGTTCGCATATTTTCAACACTCGATTTAAATATGTGATCGCTTCTTGTTTGCGATCAAGTTTCAAATAATAACAAACAATATTTATCCGTGAATCTTTGAATTTGTCGTCCGCAGGCAACAGCATCGTTTGACAGTATTCAAAGACTCGTTGATAATATTTAAGAGCCCCATTGATATCCTGCATTTCTTCGCACAACTGAGCAATTCCTGACGCACTTTTCATATGAGTTGGGTGGTGAATAGGTAAAAATTTAGAATACATTTCATCAGCTTTTATGTAAAAAGACAATGCAGCTTCATTATTACCCGTTCTTGCTGTCAGATTTCCACAGTACCATATCAAGTTTGATTTGAAAATGCTGGCTTCAATTTTAGCATTCTCCAGAATTTGCAATCCACGTTCATAGTAGTCTAATGCACGATCAAATTCTCCACGATTATTGTAAACAGAGCCAATATTATTGAACGAAAACGCATTTCGAATATCATTTTCACCATACATCATTTGTTGCATTCCCAACGCTTTCTCAAACATCTCAAGCGCGTGATTTAGTTCAGAGTTCCTCCGCCTACCAATCAATTTTTGGGAGTTCATATAATTCACTGCCACAATCTGATTGCACACATCTGCTACATCTGGATATTCACTCGATAACGTCTTGAGAAGCATTCGAAAATATTCTCCTGCACGATCAACTTCATTCATTTCGTTCATCAAAAGACCCTCGAAATAGATTAATTGTGAATACATCTGCAACTGACCCTTTTGTGCGTCCAGGTATGATTGCAATGTTAGTGAATCTTCATTCGTAGCAGTTAACATCAGTTTTCCCATGGAAAGAGGGTGTGGGTAAATGAAAGATCTGTGCTGACACCGACACCCATAACACACCCCACACCCACACCCACGTCCCCACGCCGACACTCGCATGGTAGTAAGATATTTTGATGAGAAAAATCGCATTTGTTCGTCTTTACACGCATACACATATATCAACGTCATCGTCAAAAGATAGCCCTTATCAATATATCAGTGAAGTGCTTCGTAACACAAAGAAAAAGATGCAAATAATTCTGCTTCATACACTGGCGTAAGAACGATTTTTATCTTCACTCATTTCAACTCAAAAATATTCAGTATTTTATGGCCCCAAAAAGGAATGCCATTTATATGATATTTCGATTCTCTTTAACGATCACAATTGGTGTGCTGATCGGCTATCACTTAGCACAAACAATAGAAATAGACTCAACGTTTATCAAAAGTTTCGTTCTTGGAAATTCTCAAAATAGATCCACTGCATTAGGATCTCATATTGCTATTATCAATCTCAATAATAGAAGTCTTACCAATTTGACTTGTATAAAGTCAAAAGTATTATTCAATATATTTCAAACAACAATTTGTCTACATGATGTTACGAAAGATGTCTATGTTAGTGGGTCGATTGCTCGTGACAAAATATGGGAAGAAAATCTTGTTACAAAACTTTTAAAAATTTTGTTAAAAAATCCAGAGTTTGGTAAGAGTACCTCTTAATCATAGGTCACTAATAATAATAAACCATAAGATAAATTATGGACGATTTAGAGAAGTTAAAGATGCTCAATAATGAAACATTTTTAAACGGTGTAAGGTGAAAGTGACGTTTCTCTGTCTTATTTTCATTGTCTATTTCAGTTTCAATGATAAGAATGTAGGGCTCTGTTCAAAAATAGAGAATGACAAAATCTGATTAACATCTTGATTTTGTATTCATTCAGGACACAGTTGAGTCTGACGGAAGGCAGGATTAAAAAACTAGACCTGTACACATGACCGACCTGCTTGAATATTACTTACAAAAAAACTATTATTCGCTAGTTCAGATTCTATTTCTAAAAATAACTAAGTCATCATTTTTTTCCCATCATTCAGCTATGATCGATATTGGTGCTAATATCGGTACTTACACGATGTATTCAACATCGATTCGTCGTACGACAATCTCAGTGGAATGCTATCAACCAAACATAGAGAGAATTGTACGAGCGATTCAACTTGAGAATGTTTCAAAATATGTAACATTAATCGGAAACGCAATATATTCTGAATCAGGTATATATTTGAAATTATCAAAAGATACATTAAATGTTGGAGGACAAGGTTTAATTACGAATGCAACAACAAACCAAATGGCGTCGGTTTCCGATCAATTCACAGGTATGAAAGTATGTCAGAAGAAAATAATTGCCAAAGTAGCTATTTATTCTTCAGTAGACCCTCTCTCTCGTGAACTCAATTAGGACTTTCGAAAAAATGTTTACAATAACAGGAGGATCCCTTTAAAGCAGCGTCAAAGGAAAAATGAGTACGAGCATCGTCATGTAAGCATTTATGTTTGAGGACTTTTCTATTTCATATTTGATCTCTTTTGATTTTTTCGGTTACCTATCGTATGTTTTCCTAAGCTCTGAACACTCGTAGTCAACCACCTGTGAGACATTTTCTACATATGATCATCAATTGACTTTTATTTCTTGGTTTCGAGCGAAAGGAGACATTTTATGAGCTTTCACTACAGTGGAGTGACAACAAATACAATTCATGGTGTTTCATGATTGACTATAGCTACGGCGGAAGGCTTACGATTAATGTCGAGTCAATGTTTCATATGTTTGCTTTTTGCTTAAGAAAGTAGAGTTAGGTTGATCTAAACTTGAAAATGTTGTTCTAAAGAGTGACCAGAAAGTTTCGATCCCTCGCAGTAAATCGATGATATCTACAACAAACTTCTATGAAGTCATTGATCAAATTATGTCATTTTGTAGAGAAAGATTAGAGCTATATTCTGAGAAAAAGATAGTTCGAAATACATAAATCTATAACAATGTTGTGGCCATTTTACTAAACTTGAGTGAAAACCTTTAAGTGACATTTTTTTCAAAAACAAAAATTGCTTGTAACATCCTAAGCGACATATTGTTTTCTAGATATTTTTATATAGTTCGATAGAGTTTGACAAGCTCTACGAGAATATGAATTTTTAAAAAAGTTCTGATCTTATTTTCAATATAAAACTTGAAGGAAACCAGAAAGACTAATAAAAATTTCATGTATCAAATATTCACAAGAGTAAGCTGAGCTTTGAATAGCTTCAGCTGGTTGAGTGTTCCATCTGTTCATGTAGCTGGGAAGTATTATTTTCAGCTTCAGTTTATGACGCTGCATCTCGAAACATCAATTAACAATCGATCAAATAAAGTTATTGAAAGTTAAGCATACTATCTCATGCAACATTTGCGAGATTTTCATTAATCTGCGTGGTTTCTTTCGAGTTTTACATTGAAAATAGGATTCGAATTATTCTTGATATTCATGTTCTTGTAGAGCTTGTCGAACTCTATCGAACCATATAAAAGTATCTATTAAAAACATGTAGAAAATAATATTTCGCTCGACTTTAACGACTCAAACATTCGAGATGTTTTTTACTTTTTCAAAAAATGTACTGTAAAAGTTTTCACTCAAGATTAGTAAAATGACCATAACATTGTTATAGGTTTATGTATTTCGAACTATCTTTTTTTCAGAATATAGCTCTAATCTTTCTCTACAAAATGACATAATTTGATCAATGACTTCATAGAAGTTTGTTGTAGATATCATCGATTTACTGAGAGGGGTCGAAACTTTCTTGTCACCCTTTAGTTTAAGAAACGAAAGGCTACACTCGTCGTGCTCGATGAAA